AGAAAACAGGAAGAAATCTACTCAAATCGAATATTTTGGTGGGTAATAAATTTTCTGTTCAAATCGAATCTACTCAAATAGAATCTACTCAAATCGAGGACCCCCAGTAGAAAGAAATTCCATGTTTATGGCTTTTTTTTTGCTGAGCTTTTTATCTCTGGAATTAACTTTTGAATATGAAGAGCTGTAAACAAAAGAATTGAAGTCAAAACAGTAAGCTAGTGCATGACTGTGATTAATAAGAAAAGTCTTTTAAGCTGGTTCTCACACGACTTATCTTTTCATTCAAACTGAGAGAAGCTTAAAATTTGGTAATTTTTATATTATTTTTTCTTGGGTCAGGGACGTTCAGGAATTAAATTTTAAAGGTATAAAATTTAAAATTATCACTTCTTATGCTTTATAGAATATAATAATTAATTATTCGCATCAGTAGTACAAAATGACTTGCAAATAATTCTATTAAAATTATAAAAAGGGTCGTTCACTTATGACGTCCATCAAAAAATCTGATTTTTGGACCCCCCCCCCCCCCCTCCCCCCTCTGTCACAAAAATTTTATAGAAAAAAATTTCCATTTTTTGAACTGTCACAAAATCCTAACCCCCCCCCCCTAAATGTCGGACGTCATAAGTGAACGGCCCCAAACACCATAAAATACATCCATTATCCAACGGTACAATTCAGCACTCTTAAAAACAAATTCATCAGCACGACAATTTAATAAATCGCAAAATAATCAGCAGCATACCAAAATAAAACAATTTTTTTCAATTTACTCACCAGCCTGTAACAGCAAATAGTTTTGACATTACTCCAACATGTAGCTTTTGGAAGCTGTAATCTGTGAAAAATAATTGATGAACTACACATTATCTGATTTCCCCATCAGCGATTACCTTTTCTCCTATAAAACGATTACAATATTTTAAAATGCTGCTGAGATGGTAATTTACGATCTGTCACTTATAAGCTTTTCTCACTTTGCTTTCGTCCATCCATTTGTGGCTAGTATCAATTTTTTTTTTTGAAAAATATCTTTTTTCATCTCATTATCCCGCCTTAATATTTTTGCTTATGACAGTCGGTACATAAATTAATATAAACATAATTAAATGAGATATGTTACCAGCGACGTCTTACATTTCTTTATCGGTTCACACTGTTTGCTGCTTACTGTCTAGTCCACAAACCTTTCTCTGTGCTTCGCCTGACTGAACGACTAATTATCCATTTATTTCGGCATTAACCTTTCAGTCAAAAAAATTTTAAAAATGTTACCTTTTTTGAGTTTTAATTGATTTTCGATATTTTTATAATTTGGGGTCATTCGTAAATGCTGTTTATCAAGGAATGTGAATTTTCGACTTATTTACTTAATTTTTTGTAAGGTAGTCATCAATATTAATTCAAACAGACCTAGATTGTAGTCACTCATAAGTAAAAGACGTCATTTATGAATGACTCCAATTACAATTTAATTTTTTTGCTCATTGTCTGCTGTCAAGTGTTGTTTTGTTAGACATAACAACCTTTTTCTCAATCAATTCCAAATAATCCCTATTTTATGGTCCATATAAGCATGAAATCTCACTTTTTGTTGTCATACACACTTAATTGGCACATGTGATAATGAGTGTAATGCATTAAACAAATGGAGCGGCTATAAGTTGGCAAAAAATATCTCATTAGGAACTTTGTTTTCTATTCATTGACAATCGGCCTATGAAAATGCTATTATTATGAATGAGAATTTAATAATTCAGGTATACGTAAGGCATTAATGATGATTATAATGAGAAGTGGTGAATTTCTTATAAAATTTACATATCATTATTTCCATTCAACTTTATTAGCATGTTTTCGCTAAGCATATGGATTAATAGCTTTTCATTTGGGGGGTTATTAGCGTTGTTGGCTTCTCAAGTTTTAAAAATAATTTATTGGATCTTGTAATTTCGATGGTAATTTTGTGGTTGAATTAGCAAACCCAAAACAAATTTGTAGGAAGCTTAATGGTAATTAATCATGCGAAATACCAAATTATTAGTGTGAAAACCTGTAAATAAATAGTCTTTGGCTTATGATAATTCGTATCTTCAAATCGAATTGGATAGATTTGTGGTTGTTGTGGTAGATGGACAATTGTTCTATTAGTGTTGTGGATTTAAGGAAATATATTGTTTGTTATGAAGAATTGGGAAGCTGATCAAGCATGTTTTATTAATCTAGAGGGTTAGAAGCTATATAAGCCTGTATGACGCTTATATGAGACTCATGCTAGCTACTCCAAAATTTGGGAACTTCAATGAAGTTCACGCGGACGTCCCAAGAGCTCTTGGAGAGAAGCTGTTGACAGAGACAGTATTACACTTGGTATTGGTAATTGGCAAGCGATTGCTTGTGATAGAGCCAGCTTCAGGCGCTATCTAAGGGAGGCCATGGATCACAATTGATCTATACGGCCAGAGAAGTAAAGCAAGCAATGAAGTTCGGTATGCAGCAAAGGATTAGCTCGGATTAAGCAAACAATTTTTAAAGTTTGGTGCTACTTTTTATGAGATTCTGGATCCTTATAGCCAAACTAGCAAAGCTCCCTACACATGCGACGACTCTTGTTATAATTCCATTTGATCCAAGTCATGAATTTATCAATGTCCAAATCAAATAAATTTTTCAACCCACTTAACAGCCACAACATGCCCCACAGCCATATGACAATCCTCACAAAAAAAGAGTTGCTTCCATAATGAATCCATTAAAGATTACACTCATAAATCTTATACAATAAACTATCTCCGAAATCCTCCTAATGCCTTAATTTTCAAATCATCAAAACTTTCAAACTACTTTTACTACACTTATTTAATGACTTTTTAGCGTCTCCATTCATTTTTTACAATTCCTTATGACTAAAATAAAGCAACACAATGAATGTTTAATTTGTATCATTCATAAAATTGGAACTATTATATTGCTATACTAATGAAGATATTAACAGTCATTTATTGAACATTGCACAATGATTTTTTTTTAAATGCTATAAAGTTGTACAAAGACAATTAAAATGTACTCGCAAATTTATGATTACGATTAAAAAATAAATATTTTTTCATAACAAGATTTATGATTATAGCTGTCGAATGTAAAGGCATTATCACACACATAATCAACATGTCGCTGATATAATGGTATTATATTAATTTAGCAAAATCATCAAACATTTTGTTTTTTAATTATCTCAAACAACGACTATTTTGCAATCTCCGTAATTAATAAAAATTGGCCAAAAAATTGCTCATTCACATTTGTCTATTGAAAACTTACACCGAGTCATGTTGACTGCATTTAATGTTTTTTTTTTTCCGTTGGGTTTATTTTTTCACCGATCTTCATTAAGATTAAGTTTATGGTCGCTGCTGGATGCCACTTAGCGGATTTGTAGACTTCCTTTTTTCATCAGTCAATCCACATTGCGATGTTAATGTTTGTTGATGTTTAATTTTTAACCGGAGTTTTTTAGAACTGGAGCTTGAATTGGCAGTTTGACTTGGATGTTTTGGAAAGATTTTGGGTCGAATATTGTCTTAGCAAGAAGGTAGGCTGGGATGCAACACAAACGAGAGGCCTCAACATGGAATTCAAGGGGCTCAAATTTTTGAATTTGGTCTGGGCGGTTAAATGAGTTTCTCTACCACTTTGTCATTTAGGGGCCATTCACTTATTACGTAACGCTTTTAGGGGGGAGGGGGGTCTAAGATTTTGTTACGCTTCAAACAAGGAAATTTTTTTTTCATACAAATTTTGTTACGAGGGGGGGGGGGGGGTCTAAAAAGTCATTTTTTCGCGTTACGTAATAAGTGAACAGCCCCTTATAACCAATAACTTTTTGGAAAAAATGGCAACAATATATGTTTTAGGGGATATGATTATCATAATCCTTATAATCGGAAGTTGAACCTTAATGAGGATCATGATTATAAATCAAAGATTTAAAATCAAAATAGAGGAACTATTCCCATTTCCACCCCAAAGTTCATTAAAACAGAAATTTTCAAAAAATGCGCCTTCTGTCATTACCATCAAGTGCCATTCCAACTTGAATAAACTTAATGTTTTTTTTTTCCTTTCCTTACTTTCGGCTATCAGTATAATTACATCGATAAAAATGACATTGCAATGTTGTTTAAACTAAATTACTCGCGAAAAATAGCCACGACACACGAGAGATTGATTAATGACATGTCTTTTTATTATATGATTAAAGATTATCATACTGAGGCAAGTCAACAAAAGTTTATTTTCATGTTTTTTTTAAGTAATGTCATAAACTCATATCTGATGAGTGTCATGCTTCCCTCGAGTACTTTAAATCAATCCGTTATTTGAGTATGAAATGATTTTATTATTCAATTAATTGTTGCTGATTATTTTCAATGTACATATTGAGTTTCGATTGAGATTACAAAATGTAAGACTTTATTATGATTTTTTACAAAATATTTACAATGGACATCCATTAACAGAGTAGCAATAATGGATCGAATTTTATTTAATTGGTCTGCAACTATAAATCTATTTTGGCCAATTAAGATGAAAACTTTTTTGTGTTGCGAACCTTAATTAAAGAATTTTGTCAGTTGCTGTTGCCAAAAGATTCCTTTCACTTTCTATAATGTAATTTTTTTTGTATCGATTTGGTTGAGTAATCGATCTAAAGTTGATACAGTTTGTTAAATTGAGAAGCTGTTATGTAGGAAAGGTTTAATTAAGGATCGAAATAATTGTAATTTGTTTGGATAAATTGGCACCTTGATTGCCTTAATTTTCATTTTTTACTTGCTGTTATAAAATATTGACTTTATGGTCTGTAAGTTCCTGGTATGGATCATTAAATTTAATGAGCTCTAGTTAAATTGCTGCTTGCTGGAATCGAAATTTGGAATCATAATCAACATTCTATATAAACTTATCATGTTTTCCTTCCTACCTCTCACTAGATACTCATCTAATTAGAAAAGCACCATCAGCATATTCAGATGGCGTATACGGTATGGCGGGTCCAAACCGACCATCACCAAGAAAATTATCAAGACTTTTTATGAGAGGTCAAGACGGTCTGAGTTCGAAGGATAATCGTACAGCACTGCTGGCATTTTTCGGACAAGTTGTGACAAATGAAATTGTGATGGCGTCAGAGTCTGGGTGTCCCATAGAGATGCATCGAATAGAGGTGGAAAAGTGTGATGAAATGTACGATAAGGAGTGTCGAGGTGATCGATACATTCCATTCCATCGAGCAATGTACGATCGTCATACTGGACAGAGTCCAAATGCACCGCGTGAACAGGTACGATAAATTCATTCAGTTAAATTAAAAAAATAACCACAGTGGAAATTTGATTCCAAATTGTCTTGCTATATATTGTTCCTACTCACGCATTCATTCTCCTCTTAACCTTCATAGATCAATCAAATGACAGCATGGATTGACGGTAGTTTCATATACAGTACATCAGAGGCATGGCTGAATGCAATGAGATCTTTTCAAAATGGTACACTGTTGACTGATAAAAGTGGCAACATGCCAGTTAAGAATACAATGCGGGTGCCACTTTTCAACAATCCCGTGCCACATGTCATGCGTGCACTTAGCCCTGAACGATTGTATCGTAAGTATAAATATTATTTCATGTCATGTAATGGAAAGTAATTTATAAACATTTTTATTATCTTACAGTCCTGGGCGATCCGCGCACGAATCAAAATCCAGCAATATTGTCATTTGCGATACTTTTACTACGTTGGCACAATGTGCAGGCACAAGAAGTGAAACGTAAATATCCAGATTGGAGTGATGAGGAAATTTTCCAGCGTGCACGACGACAAGTTGTTGCAAGCTTACAAAGCATCTTCGTTTATGAGTATTTACCAGCATTCTTAGGTGGAGTTGACTTAGATCCATATACTGGATATAAAGGAGATGTACATCCAGGCATTTCGCATATGTTTCAAGCAGCAGCATTTCGATTTGGTCATTCACTTATTCCACCTGGCATTATGAGAAGGGATGGAAAATGCAACTATAAATTATCAAGAATGGGATCTACAGCTATTCGATTGTGCTCGACGTGGTGGGACTCAAGTGTAAGTTTAAATAAATGTGCTCACAATTTTTAAAATTAATTTAATTATCATCATTTGCAGGATATTTTTGAAGACTCAAGCATTGAAGAATTTTTAATGGGTATGGCATCACAGCTGGCAGAGCGTGAAGATCCGTTCTTATGTTCTGATGTACGTGAGAAATTGTTTGGTCCAATGGAGTTCACACGACGAGATCTCGGTGCATTAAATATCATGCGTGGACGTGATAATGGTCTTGCTGATTATAATTCAGCACGTAAAGCTTACAACTTGTCACCTCATAAAGACTGGAAGGATATTAATCCAGTTTTATTCGAAAAGGATCCTGAGCTGATGAATATTCTCATTTCAGCATATAAAAATAGACTGGATAATGTTGATGCTTATATTGGTGGTATGTTGGAGTCTTATGGCAAGCCTGGTGAGCTTTTCACAAAAGTTATTTTGGATCAATTCACAAGAATCCGTGATGCTGATCGTTATTGGTTTGAAAATGAGGAAAATGAAATTTTCACCAAAGAGGAAATTGAGAAGTTTAGGAACATAAAATTATGGGACATCATTGTAAATAGTACATCAATTGACCCTGACAGTATTCAACAAAATGTTTTTCAATTTATGGACGGTGATCCATGTCCACAGCCAGAACAACTCAATGCTTCATTACTTGACAAATGCTCACATCTCGAAGGCTATGATTATTTCTCGGGATCTGAATTAACTTACATTTACTCATGTGTTGTACTTGGATTTGTTCCAATTCTATGTGCATTGGCTGGCTATTGTGTCGTGAAACTTCAAAACAGACGAAGACGTCTATTGCGAGTTCAACAAGAAAACATTCGATCGAAAGGAGGAAAACAAACATTTGATAAAATGATGGCACGTGAGTGGCTTCATGCCAATCATAAGCGTCTTGTTACAGTCAAATTTGGACCTGAATCTGCTATTTATACAGTCGATAGAAAAGGAGAAAAATTGAGGACATTCAATCTTAGAAATACTGATACAATTCAAGTTGAATTAAGTCAAGAAAGTTATACAAAGAAGAAGCCGCTTGTGCTGTTGAGAATCCATAATGACCATGATTTAGTACTGGAACTAGAAACAGTCGGTTCACGTCGCAAGTTTGTCAAGAAATTGGAAGACTTTTTGATAATTCACAAGAAGGAAATGTCAATCAATGAACAGAACCGTGAATTGATGTTAGCAAGGGCAGAGACAAGGGAAAGACGACAGAAAAAATTGGAACACTTCTTCCGTGAGGCTTATGCATTAACATTTGGTTTAAGGCCAGGCGAGAGACGACGACGTTCTGATGCATCAAATGATGGGGAAGTTATGACAGTCATGCGAACAAGTTTATCAAAATCTGAATTTGCGGCCGCACTTGGTATGAAACCCGATGCCATGTTTGTTAGAAAAATGTTTAATATTGTCGATAAAGATCAAGACGGTCGTATTTCATTCCAAGAGTTTTTGGAGACTGTTGTACTTTTTTCACGCGGCAAAACAGAAGATAAATTGCGTATAATTTTCGACATGTGTGACAATGACCGTAATGGTGTCATTGACAAGGCAGAGTTTGGTGAAATGATGAGATCACTTGTCGAAATTGCACGAACGACAAGCTTAACAGATGATCAAGTGACGGAATTGATTGATGGAATGTTTTCTGATTGTGGATTAGAACATAAAAATCACTTGACATACAAAGATTTTAAGGAAATGATGAAGGAATACAAAGGTGAATTTGTTGCTATCGGTCTTGACTGTAAAGGTGCTAAACAGAATTTCTTGGATACATCCACGAATATTGCTCGAATGACATCATTTGCTATTGAACCAACTGAATCTGAAAAACACTGGATACTCGAGAAATGGGACACGTACACAACATTCTTGGAAGAGAATCGTCAAAATATTTTTTATCTCTTTCTCTTCTATGTCGTAACCATCGCACTGTTCGTTGAGAGATTCATTCGTAAGTAGACGCGATAAATATTAAAAGAATTAAAAAAAACTTACAAACTTTTTATTCATTTACAGATTATTCGTTTATGGCTGAACATACAGATTTACGTCACATTATGGGTGTTGGAATAGCAATAACACGAGGTTCTGCAGCTGCATTATCATTCTGCTACTCATTATTGTTGCTCACAATGTCAAGAAATTTCCTCACAAAACTCAAAGAATTTCCCATCCAACAGTACATTCCACTTGATTCGCATATACAATTTCATAAAATTGCAGCATGTACAGCACTCTTCTTCTCATTGCTTCATACAGTCGGTCATATTGTAAATTTCTATCACGTCTCAACGCAATCACATGAAAATCTTAGATGTCTCACGAAAGAAGTGCATTTTGCATCAGATTATAAGCCTGACATCACGTTTTGGTTGTTCAAGACACTCACTGGTACAACTGGTGTTGCCTTATTTATCATCATGTGCATCATTTATGCATTCGCACATCCAACGATACGAAAAAGAGCTTACAAATTCTTTTGGACTACTCATTCACTTTACATACTTTTGTATATCCTCTCATTGCTTCATGGATTAGCAAGAATTTCTGGTCCACCACGATTTTGGATATTCTTTATTGGACCAGCAATTATATTTGTCATTGATAAAGTCGTGTCATTAAGAACGAAATATATGGCACTAGACGTAATTGATGTTGAATTATTGCCATCGGATGTAATAAAAATAAAGTTTTATCGACCACCAAATTTAAAATATTTATCTGGACAATGGGTACGATTCTCATGTACGGCATTAAAGCCGGAGGAAATGCACAGTTTTACATTAACATCTGCGCCACACGAGAATTACCTTTGTTGTCATATTAAAGCTCAAGGTCCATGGACGTGGAAACTTCGTAATTATTTCGATCCATGCAATTATAATCCAGATGATCAGCCAAGAATTCGAATTGAAGGTCCATATGGTGGTGGAAATCAAGATTGGTATAAATTTGAAGTCGCTGTTATGGTTGGTGGTGGCATTGGTGTGACTCCATACGCGAGTATCTTAAATGATTTAGTATTTGGTACGAGTACAAATAGATATTCTGGAGTTGCGTGTAAGAAGGTTTACTTCTTATGGATATGTCCATCACATAAACACTTTGAGTGGTTTATTGATGTCTTGAGAGATGTTGAGAAGAAGGATGTGACGCATGTTTTAGAAACTCATATTTTTATTACTCAATTCTTCCATAAATTTGACTTAAGGACTACTATGCTGGTGAGTATTGATTATTAATGAAGCAGGGGTCAGTGATATGCAGATTTAATAGACATATAGCTTCAATTTTGGAGCTTATTGCCATTTTTGACACTTGATCCATGACTTTATGCACCTATTGATCTTATATCATAATATGACTACAATAAAATATCTCTAATTTCAGTATATATGTGAAAATCACTTCCAACGATTAGCGAAGACATCAATGTTCACGGGACTAAAGGCTGTTAATCATTTTGGACGTCCCGATATGTCAAGTTTCTTAAAATTCGTTCAAAAGAAACATTCATATGTAAGATATTTGTTCAAATGACACATAACAATGAAGTACAGTCTTTAAATTCTCCGTTGCAGGTTTCAAAGATCGGCGTGTTCTCATGTGGACCTCGGCCGTTAACAAAGAGTGTCATGTCTGCTTGTGATGAGGTCAATAAAGGACGAAAACTTCCATATTTCATTCATCATTTCGAAAACTTTGGCTAAAATTTATAGACATATTAGATATATTTTCAAATTGACACTTCAAAGTCATCATAATTTGCTCAAAAAAAAGGAAGGACGATTTAAAGAAAAAAATATTAGCAAAATTTATTGACACATTTGCTTAATTAAATTTTTTAGAATTTGATAATTTTTTGTCATCATAATTACATTATTATATTTATTCATTCATATCACGCTTCATTAAAGTGCTAATTGAGCTCGTCGTAGATTTGTCTATTGATTGAAGATGTTGTAGATTTTTTTTTCTCTTCATAATTTTAGATGTAAAATAAATTTATTTTAAATAAAGTTTTTATGAACAAATATTTGATAGATAGAGTTCTTTGAGGATTTATTCTTGAGAATGGCTTTGATTGTTAATTTTTAGGAAGAGCTGTGAATTTGTTAAGGAGCACAATAAATGATTTTTTGGATCCTCCCTCTCCCTTTTGTCATAATCATTATTATAATTGAAGACTAACCTCCCCTTACCCCCTCCAAACATTAAAACGTTTTATTCTGTTAAGATGAACTCATCCTCTTGACTGTATCTCAGAGGCGTAGCCAGGAATTTGAAGAGCGGGTGACAAAAAAAATTTTTGTATGGAAAAATTTAAGGGGGGAATTTTTGTGATTTTTTCATAAAAACTCTAGCAAAATGAAGATGGACTACAACTTGATTACAATCTTAAACTTCTCAATATCATAATTCATGAAATCGAAGAACTTATAAGCATGTGCTGTTTTGAAGAAAGTTGGTCAAAACAATGCTACAAAAATGTCATTTACAGCTACTCCACATACGATAAGAAGAACTAAATACAAAGGAATTATAGTTTCGGATTTTAGAACCTGATTGTTCATTTATATATTTGAGCACTATGATTAAGAAAATTAAATACGTGTGGGATATATTTAGTTCCTCACTTCTGCTTGTTTTAAGAGGTTGTGAAGTGCATTTAGAAATTTATTATGAAAACTGGAGTCGTATCTTTAGTAATTGCGATTATTTTCATCATAGTTTCTCAAAATGAGGTTGATGGAGGTAAGGAAATAGTCAAAGCTCAAATTCGATGAAAATTTTCAACTTTTAGAATTCAAAATTTATAAAAAAAAAACTCAAATCAACTAAAACCTCTGAAAATATTGAGAAATAGAAATTGAAGTTTGTGAAAAAAATCAAAAAATTGATTTAAATTATTTCTACTTAAATCAGGAGTCTTACCAAAGATAGCACAAGAAGTTGTATCAATAAAGGATAAAATAAATAATTTCTTTCACAAAATTTTTGGAAGCTATGAAAACGCAGCATCAACCACTGAAATCGTTACTGAAACTTATCCAACAGAAGAACCAACTGAAAATGACATCCTAAAAGACATCATTTATCCTACTTACATCTCACCAGAGTTAATTGACGAACAGTCAATTCTAGTCATAAATGAAATTCCTATAGAAATGACTTGGGAAATGGTCAGCACAATAAATCCTGAATTGGAATATGAATTGCCATGGAAACTAAAGAATCATAGATTCAAGCGAGTTTGAAAATAATTCTTTTTTTTTCCTTCTTTTTGTAGGCACAGAATAGCTTAGTTAAGTTAAAGGCAGATTTTTGAATAAAATAATTTATTTTTGATCTTAGACAATTATCTTCATTATTTTGATTATTTTCAGGGATTTATTCAAAAACTTTAGGAGTTACCCTTGAAAAAATTGTTAAAAAAACTTGCAAGCATGTAGCTACCTGAAACACATCAGAAAATATTTTCCTTTTTTTTTGCGGTTCATAACCGCTCAACATAAAAGTTTCGAAATTTATTCTTAAGACGAGCCATGAAATAGTTTTTTGATAGTTTAGTTGATATCTGTCAATTAATCTGTAAAGAAGTTCTTAAAATAACAATTTAAATTTCCTGTTTTTAAAATAAAAATGGAGCATTTCATGATTGCACTGGCGCTTTCTTTGTTCATCATGCCTGATAATCATATTAATAATAGTAAGTTTCTGTTTCTTAATTTCAATCGATCAATTTGAAAAATTTTTTAAATTATTTTTAGATCCTCGAAAGCCGAAAGTAAGCTTGTTATCAATAATTGCTAGATGGCACGCATATACTTTGAGAATGGTGGAAAATACAAACATCAATATGGCTATATTAACTCGAAAAACAATAAGAAGCGACCATTTGGATGCACGTTTATTAAATTCACTTAAAATGAAGAAGAAACTTGCAGCGATGAACAAAATATTGGAGAAGGAACGCAAGTTGTATACTAATGCATTGTCAAAAATCTAATTTAAAGTTCTTATTTTTACCAGAGTCATTTTAGACTCATGATAACATTCCAAGCTTCAAAACCTACATAGAAAAATTTATTAGAACTTTTTATTAAATTCTACATCCATGATTAAAGTCTCATAATTCAAATTTTAATATTTCAAAGCGTTCAATAAAGTTTTTAAAGATACTCGAAAATTCAACTAAATTTAAACTTTTAATAAAAACTTTCCAGGAACAAGCAATCTTCCCATAGTAATACACCATTAATGACTCACTCAAGAAATTCCTACGAATGAACAAAGTAAGTCACACATGATCATAACTTATTTACAATTTTTTTTTTTTTTCATTCAAAAATATTCATTGAAAACAAGTCATTGCTGTCGTCACAATCGTGTGTCTATTTAAAGATAATTTAAATTTTTTTCATACAAACAATGCTCATAAAATACAATGCGACCTGCTCACTCTCTCAATTTAAGCTGAGCTCTCTTGATCAATTTAAGAGACACTTGCTGTTGATTGATATGCAAAAAGCAAGCATAAAAAAAGTTTTTGATATTTTTGTTCTGTCGTTGCTGAGTGGCTTTTGGTGATTTGAATTATTTTGTTGTGTAGTTTTTGTGCGTTTAAAATATCGTAGCTGAAAAAATTGTTATAATCTCAAACAAAGTAAGCCTTAATTGACTTAAATTAAGAATTTGCCTCTCAATCAACATGAGACAGTAATACATAACGTCTAACTAGTAAATGCACGACACTACACGATAGCAATCAATAGTTTTTGTAGACTGAAACTCATACTAATTATTATGTCAGTTATACTCCGACTCTCGTTGTAACAAGTCATAAAAGGATCGAGTATAGTGAATTTTTAAATTCAGTTATCAGCATCTTAAAAATAAATAATAATAAGGGCATTTTAAGGAACTACAACAAACTCATTAAAATATTAAGTTTGATAGTGATGAAATTTAAATCAATTTCAATATTAATCGTCATTTTTGCATTGACAAACAGTTCAAATGCGAAAGGTGGACGAGGTAAAAAAATCGATACTTAAATTCCCAGCACTGAAAATTGGACATAAATAATTCAAAAAAATTTCTATTTTCAGGTGGATTTTCTGCTCGTGGGGGTGGATCACGTGGAGGGGGTTCTAAAAGTAGTGGCGGTGGGTGGTCTAGTTGGTTTGGTGGTGGATCAAAACCAGCACCAGCACGTCCATCACCTTCTTACACACATAGTGCACCTTCACCTTCACATAATATACCTTCGAACACTAATAATGCACCAGCTTATGGCTGGAACGTCAATCGAGGTATAAGCGGCACATACATGCACTAAACATAATCAATTATTGTATTTTTTTTGTATTTCACTTTCACATGAGTCATCAACTGCACATATCAAATTGTAGTCACACACAAACATGACACTTTTGACCCTCTCTCTTACTCTCATTTTATGTTTTGTACTTGTTTACTCATTCATGTAAACATTCTTTTTTTGTTATTTAATTATTAGGTGGTTCAAACACGCAATCAAATTCTGGCTCCAATGTAGGATGGAATACAGGCAGTAATAGCGGTGGAACTAATACTGGATCGAAACCGAGTAATACAAATTATGGATGGAATGTAAACAACAACAATGCACAGAAGCCATCAGCTCCTGTTGGACCACCACCAGCTTATCCAGGCATGCAAAATCGTCCAATTCCTAATAATAATGCACCACCAGCTTATTCACCAAGTCATGTGAATCCACCAGCTTATAATCCTGGATCTTACAATGCTTACTCGCCAAGCATTAATAGTCGACCAGGAAGTAATTATGGAGGAAATATCCCAAGGCAAAATACATACAATTCATACTCATCAAATAATGGATATAATCCTGGTTATGGAAGTACTTTTGGTAGTCAAGGTCTTCCTGGAAATACTTATATCTCAAATAATTACTATGGAAGTCAACGTTCAGGTGGATCTGGATTTTTAACTAATGCTATGTTCTTTGGGATTGGTATGCATAGTGGATATGGATGGGGACGTTCTAGTGACTCTTACAATCGAAGACGATGGGATGAAGAGGAAGATAGAAAATGGAGAGCAACTACTCAAGCACCATACTTTGAGAATAAAGTTCCTGGAGAAGATAAGATTCTTCCTGCTAGTGCTGTCATTGGTGAGTATCAAACTTTGTTCATTAAAATCTTGAATTTCATCAATAACTAATCATTAAGGTGCTGCAACTGCTTTTGGATTGGTATCACTCTTACCACTTAATGTTCCAGCTAACAAGCCCCTCATGTACTGCAATAATACAGAATTAATGCAATCACAGATCCAGATCAATAATGAACACATATATCAGTGCATTAACAACACAATTGATATGTCATGTTCAAGGAAAGTTCTCGAAAATCAAACAGAAGTCAACGAGAATCAAACAGAATGTGTGAACAAGAACATGCAATGCAACTTAAAGGAGGATGAGATTGCTGGAAGTGTGTATTGCTCAAATGGAACTTTGATGAGTAAGAACTTAATTTTCTGTAACTCAACAACCTTATTAAATGGAACTAATGTGAATGAGACTACGACAATATTAAATTGTTATGAAGGTCAGTTACCAGAAAGTCAAGCTGCCTTTATTCCAACTACAACGACTACCCAAGCACCAATAACAACTACTGAGAAGTCATTGTCATTTGGCGCAAAAGTTCACATGTTTTTCCTTAGAATTATTGGAAAAGGTGATGCAGCTGAAAAAGAAATAACAACGACAACCGAAATGCCTGAAATGACAACTATTAAAGATAGTTGGGTACCGGAAGCATTGACAATTCCTCCAGAAACGACAACACTTGATACGACCACAACTGAGGATGCCTCATTTGAATGGATGGAAAAAATGTCTTTTAAGTACGAAAATGGAACTGATGGAATCACTTTGAAGCCAGTCAATAAGACACTAATTGAAATGCATGAAAGAGAATATAATTTAAAAAGTAGCATGGGTTTTACAGAGAACATTTCCTATCCTCCAAATTGGATTAAAGTTACAAGATCTTTAGAAACAACGACAGCAGCTTCTTCATCACTAGCACCAGATAATACTTCAGTGAGTGCTGACAGTTCAACAACAGAGGAACCAAAGAGCAACTAAAGTTGTTAATATTAGATATAAATGTATATTAAGGATGCAGCTTTAATTCGACAAGCTTTAACTAAGACCTTACTCAATATGAATGAACAGAAGAATCTCAAAAATAAGTTTCATCTTTAAATTGATGTGATTGAATTAAATGAAAATTTTGTGCTGATAATCAGTTTATGTGTCATAAATATTTTTTTGTAAGTTTGTGTGTGAGTTATGTGTGATCTTTAAAGTTCACTAGATGATATCAAATATGTCATCATGTTTTGTAAATTTACAATTAATGTGTAAAGACTAAATGAATATTTATAATAAAGAGCATTTATATTAATGAAAATAGCCATTAGTTTTCATTCTGTATCATGTTCACTTTGTCGCGTATTCAAATAGGAACTTTAAAAATTAGAATAATTATTTTATTTTTTAAAGTCGCATTAACATAAGTATTTGAATCCAGTAGTTTTGTAAATGCACAATGTATAAAATTCTTTGCCAAACCTAATCCAGTAAATGAACCAGCTTCAGATGAATATAAAAACGAGGAAGATGCTTCAACCTACAAACGTAAATTCATATCGTTACCTGATGTTTAAGCAACAAAAACCATCAAATACATCAAAATTGAAACTTCTAGAACAGATTTACAATGTAAATATCAAAATTTCAACTTATTAAAATGAATAAAATCAGAGTTGTGAGACAGATCGCCTGTCAATAAGCACAGGTGACATTTCTTTTTTTTTTCATTTTAATTTCACTTTATTGTATTTATTGACGATATACTGTCCGTTAATAATTCACATTTTACTTCTATGTATTTGTATACATATGAATTAGTATTATGGAGGATCAAACCGCTAATCTTCAAATCTAGGTTTCAATAAACTAAGGCTCTCGTTCCGATCTTCTTTAGGCGTGACGTGATCCTTTCCAGGTCCGCTCTATCAATATTCCATTCGTGAGTAATCTTGTAGTTCTGGTTCCTTTTACTCCCGCTACACTTCAAGTTCCTGACCCGTTCCTTAATCCAACGTTGCCCAAATGCCCAATTATGGCTTGATCTCGTACATTAAGCAGTCGAAGTATCTAAACTTCTAAAAAAGAACAAATTTGGAAATGGCTGGATTCGAACCGACGACCTTCGAGTTACCATCCCAAATTTGAGCCAAGCGCTTTACCTATTCGACCATCAAGGCACTTAACAGCTTAACTGCTACACTGTCTATGACAATGACAGATGACAGATCGCAACTCTGAATAAAAATTCAATTGTTATCAAGAAATAAATGAGAAACAATTTTTGAAATTTCTTAACCTCTCATCTTCAATTTATTAATCTTCAAAAAAAAATACTCAAAATTGTTTGTTTTGTGCAAACAAAAAATGCTCTCAGTCTGTTTAAAGCCTTCGCCAAAAAGAGAATTGATTCCTAATATTATAATTGAAAATTTAGTGAATTGTCTAAAAATATTAGTAAAGATTTCAAAATGTCAATTTATAGCAAATTAATTTCATTTGCTGCATTAGTGCTTTGGTTAAACGGCTCAATTGCCAAACCTAACTGGGGTATTTTCATATTAAAAAATATATATATATATATATATAAGGTTGTTCAGTTATTGATAATATGGAGGAATTGTAGGTTTTTGCATGTTTTGCATAGTTTTTAATTCACTATTTTTGATGCTTATTTCATTAATAAGTTTAAGTAAAGACTCCTCACGTTATTACTATACTAGCAACTATACAAGGGGCTAGCAACTTTTCAAGAGGCTAGCAACTTCACAAGAGGCTAGCAACTATACAAGAGGCTAGCAAGTATACAAGAGGCTAGCAACTACACAAGAGGCTAGCACCTATACAAGGGGAAATCTACTAATTGTAGTTGCAAACATAATTTGAATATTAAGTAACCGTTAATAAATTCTCCATCATTTTTGATAAAATTTGTTGGTTTTGATAAGTTTGATCAGGATGTGAAACACTTGGTTTTGCGACAAAGTGAAAAGATGTCTCAGTTAAAGTTTTATTGCGTTGAGTAATAACTGATCGACCTTTAAATGACTCCAATCCTTCAAATTTATAAAGTCAAAAAAGATTCACAATTTCAGTACTGATTTAATTTTAGAATCCATGTCTGAATATGAATCTTTTGAAGAAACAACACTTGGGACCAGGATATTTGGTAAACATAGACCTCACACAATAGAAGAATACAATCATCTTGAATCAACTGAAGAACATTATTTAGAGGAATATGAAATGAGTTGTGCTAGTAAGTCTTGTAAATCTTTAAAACATTTATTTAAGGTTAAAAAATTCAAATTCTTTTTAGGTTTCACAGGAGGATTTGGAGTGATTTTCATATTTTCAGCATCTATTTTTCATTTTTTGAGCTACTACTACACATATATCTTAGAAAGTCTTTGAATAAAACTATTTTATCTTCTTGAAGAATATTGGAATTACCATGCAAATGCATCAACACAGGAAATTTTTATTTTATTTTTTTTTACACGCAATCATGTTTGGGATTTTCCCTCAATGTCAGTTACCGTAAACAGAAACTATTTCAAGATTGTGGGGAAGAGAATTTAAATGTAATTTTTCTGTCAATATTCTCAGTCATACACAAGTGCTCGTTGAGTAAAGATTGAAAAGTAATAGGCTTATTGAAAATAATCAATTCATAAGCAGTTTAAGTTCTTCGGTTCACTTAAGAAAGAAATATTTTTGATAATGAGACAAAAGTTTGGAATTTCTATTGCAATACTGGTTTTTATTTGTAGCTTTAATGCCAAAGGTAATTAGCTTTTTGTTTATCAGACTAAATAATTAGCTTGAATATTTTCAGTTGTTTGGTCACAATTCTCATTTGGAAATAGAGGTGGATTTGCCAATTCTTATAGCTCTTCCCCACTTGGAACTTCATTGAATTTTCCATCGTCAAAAGATTGGCATCACTTTGGAGGTAAGAATTAAGTTATTTAATTTTAAATTTTCAATCATATTACTTATTCATTTTAGGCTCTAGCATATCTTTTGCAAACAGTGATCCATTCAATGATTGGCCTAACACAAACTTTCCCAGGCCTTCTGCTGGTTTAAATAGAAATACAGGTATGATCGACGCACTAGAAGGATAATTACATCAACAATAAACTCTTAATAACTCTTTAATTTCTAGGCAGCATTAGCTATGCACCAACACATACTAAAGATGACTTCCATTCAATGTTTCCTAATCTTGATGAACAAAGTTTTAGTTTTGATGGAATAAATAAAATTCGTTCAGGATATGGACTTCCTCCGTTGACGACAACAACCACAACATCCAGGGCTACTAAACCTACAAAACATACAACCACAACATCCAGTGCAACTGAACCTACAACACAAACAACAACAACATCAGTTCCTCAATATGAACGCTTTCATAATTATGGAAATACTTTTGGAAGGAACTGGCTCTTAAAAAGCACTTATATAGCCAGAAATAATTATTATGAAAGTGAAGCACCAATCGGACCAGGTCCTTTGACTAAAGCTTTATTCTCTAGTGGTGCTTTATGGGGGTACGATGATAATTCAAATTTTAACGATAAAATAAGATGGAATAAAAATGACGATAAGGAATGGAGGGCCACAACAAAAGCTCCATACTTTGAAAATGAAGTTCCTGTTGAGAATAAAATTCTTCCAGCTAGTGCTGTTATTGGTGAGCATTGACCAATTTAGAGAAATTCCATAAATTTCAACTTTATTTAAAATTAGGAGCGGCAACAGCATTCGGATTAGTTTCCCTACTTTCACTGAGAGTTCCTACAAGTAAGCCTCTCATGTATTGCGGCAATACAAACTTAAAGCAATTGCCAATCCAAATTTTTGATGAAATTTACATCTGCAAAAATGACAAATTTGAAATTTCATGCGAAGAAAATTACAGAAATCAATCGAATTTCAACTGCCCTATTCAGGAAATGAAGTGTGATATCATGGACGAGGATATTAAAGGAAACATTTACTGCAAGGATGGAGCTTTGTTTAGTAAATTGGACATCTTCTGCGATAGAACAATATCTATAAATGAAACAGATAAAGCTATAACATTCTTAGACTGTCACGAAGGTTCATTTCCTAAACATTTAGCATCATTCATTCCGACCACTACTCCAAGGTCAACTACCACACATGCACCAAAACCTTTATCGATTGGTGCAAAAGCTCACATTTTTCTTCTCAAGCTAATGGGAAAATTTGAAGTTGTCGAAAAAAAGACTCCAACAACAACAGAAACATATCCATTTCTAAATTTTGATGCGTGGCATCCAGAAGCACTGACTGTTCCTCCAGAAACGACAACGAGGGTGCCTGAAGTCAAGAAAATAGTAAAAGCTGCTAATTCAAATTCAAAAGAGGGAACCGAAGAATCCACATCAACAGAGTTACCTTCAAGCACTGTAGAAGCCTCTACTGGTTCGGTGGAAAATTCCTAGTTCCTGACCATAAGTGTCTGATATTATATTTAACCTCAAAAATATCCTAAACTATAAGTAAGACCACCGATTGTAAGCATCCATATCAACAAATAGTTTTAAGGGGCCGTTCACTTATTACGGGGGGGGGGGGGTGTCAAGAAGTATGTAACGTTCCATCCGTTTTAATGATAAAATAAATTATGAACGTTCAGAGGGGGGGGGGGGGGGGTTGTGAGTTGTAACATATTGTAACAAGGGGGGAGGGAGTAAAACGTCGTTTTTTTGCGTAACGTAATAAGTGAACGACCCCTAAGTACATTAGCCTTGACTATCTTTCTGATTCATAGGAATTGATTATATAAAAATATGGATTAGGTATGAAAATTCATGATTATTCAAATATTTTTACAAATTGCATTTATTATCAATTTATGTCGTCACTTAAAAACATCGCGAGAAAATGAGAGCTTTAATTTATTAAGTTTAAAATCCAGTTAAATACTCAGTCATACTCTAGCACTCGTAGAATAAAGATTTAAACTTATCAATTTGCAAACAGCTTCTTGCTTTATTTATAAAATAAAATATGAATGAAAGATTCAAAAAAATTATTGTCTTATTTGTTCTGGCTTGTAGCTATGTCGAAGGTTAAATAATTAAAAAATTGGAAAGAAATTGGAGTTAAATTCTTGATTTTTTCAGTTGTTTGGTCAGAAAACTATGAATTTCCATCATCAATTAGTTCTCTAACTCAAGGAACAAGTTTTTCTTTGCCATCATCTTATTCATGGCATGCAAGTATGTAATGTTTTTAGAATATTTCGATCAATTCCTTATTTCTCATTATCAATCTTAGATCAATCCTTAATAGTTCTTGAAGCCTGAATATTTGAAAAAAAAAATTTATTTGAAAACTTTTTTAAAAACTTTGATAATTTTTAGATGGTGATGTCTATAGACCTATTAGTACAAGCAATTTCCCTTTACATAGCTATGGAATTAATCGAAATGAAGGTTCGTCCTAAAATAAAACCAAGCTCAGTTTAAATATATTCCCGAAATTTCAGACCCATCCAAAAAAATTCATGAAGAAGTAAAAGCCATTCTTGCGGAAATGAATAAAGTTATAAAGACTGATGAACACATACAAGATAAAAGTTTATGGAATCTTCCTCAAGAACCTGAAACTACAAAAAGATCAACATCCATGACTAAAATAACATCATCTACAACCAGTAGAGCCACCACCAAACGATTAACAACCAGATTGCCTTCAAAATGCACAACACCTTATCACTATGAAGTTTACCATCATTATGGAGATACTTTTGGTGACAATAAACTCTTAGACAATACATACATTGCCAAAAATAATTACTTTGAGGATCAGCCACCACTTGGACCAGGGCCTTTAGCAAAGGCTTTATTTTCAAGTGGGTATAAGTGGGGATTTACTGGGTATGATGACTCAAATAGTGGCCGAAATTGGGATAAAAATGCAGACAAAAAATGGAGAGCAACAACTAAAGCTCCTTATTTTGAGAACAAGGTTCCAGGAGAGGATAAGATTCTTCCAGCAAGTTCTGTTTCTGGTAAGATCAGTTCATGCTCTTTAAATTCAAAGTTAACATCTTTATTTTATTTAGGAGCAGCAACAGCAGTTGGAGTAGTGTCACTCCTTCCACTCATAGTTCCTCCATATAAACCTCTTATGTACTGCGGTAATACAGAGTTACAGCAATTGCCTATTCGAATTAATGAAAAAGATATCTACATTTGTAACAAAAATACATTTGAGATTTCATGTCCAGATAATTTTATGAATCAGATGAATAATATTTGCATGAACAAGAAGCTGCAGTGTGACTTAAAGTACAATGAAGTTAATGGAAACATCTTCTGTAGGAATGGAACTTTATACAGTAAGGCAAACATTTATTGCACCTCTACTACAACAATTAGGGGAAGAATCGAGACCATGGATATTTTAGAATGTCGAGAAGGTCAGATACCCAGTCACTTAGGCTCATTTATTCCAACCACAACTCCAAATTCCTTCTTTACAACAACAACATCAAAACCAAAGCCTTTATCTTTTGGTGCCCAAGCTCATCTTTTTATACTGAAACTTATGGGAAAATTCGATGTCGTCAAAACAGAAACAACAACAGAAAGTTATCCTTCAACAAAACAGTTTGCATGGCATCCAGTTCCTATGTCAGTTCCTTCAGAAATTACGACTGGCTACATACCAACCGTTAAAGACTATTCTAACACAGATTCAGCAAAGATTTTTGTGGAAACTCCAACATCATCAAGCTTAACAGCAACTACAGAAGCTCCTTACGAATGGATGAGAATTGTATTTTATCAAAATAATGAAACAAAGTTAGAACACTTGCCACAGGACTTAGTTGAAATTGCAGAACATATACACTCATCTGAAATCCCCACAAATTGGATGAAAGTATTTAAAAGTGATCGATCAAGAACAACAGTTCCAAGCTCAGACACTGAAAAAGGAAATTGTAATTAATTGTTATTTTGATTGAGTGCCTGAGCCTTGCAACAGGTTCTTATGGAATCTACAATATATTTATTAGAATAAAGTTTCAATTTTTAACTAAGTTTAAAGTCAGCTAGCTATTTTGTGAACTTAATGTTTTGTTCAAGGGCATATGCCACGGTTAGCGATGGTTCCTTATTACAAATTTCTTCGATGACTCTCAGAACTGTTTATAAATTTTGTCTCAATGCCGATGAGTCATCAGGTTATTTGAGAAAGAGCGTAACCAACCTTCTTAATTTTAATGTTAATAAAATTCTCAGTCAGCCTCAAGTGCTCTTTGAGATAAGATTTAAAAAATCTGAACAGACAAATCAACTTTCAAAGAATTAAAGGTCTCTTAAAAATAAAATGAACAAAAGTTTTAAAATATTGTTGAATTTTTTACTACTTCTGGTTAACAGCATTAATGTCAAATGTGTCAGAGATTCTGAAGAAACTACAAGAAATTACTACAAACCACAAATCCACTTTAATATTCATAATGATTATGGAAATACTTTCGGTACGAATGGCTTAAAACCAAACACGTACATAGCTAAAAATTACTTCTTTGAAAGTCTGCCTCCACTTGGACCAGGTCCGTTAGCAAAAGCATTGTTTTCAGATGGCTATGAGTGGGCTTTTTCTGGTCCATATGATACATTAAATAATAAAAGATGGAATACGATTGAAGATAGACGATGGCGTGAAACAACTCATGCTCCATATTTTCAGAATAAAGTTCCTGGGGAGGATAAAATCATCCCAGCTAGTGTTGTTGTTGGTGAGCAGTCCTTGCATTAATTTTTAGGTTAATTTGTTAATGTTTGATTATTTAAGGAGCTGCAACAGCATTTGGATTGGTTTCATTACTGCCACTAGCAGTTCCTCATCACAAGCCACTCATGTATTGTGGCGATACAAACTTAAATCAATTGGCGATTCGAATAAACAACAAAAATATTTATGTCTGCAATGAGCACAACTTTGAAATCGCATGTCCAGACAATTTTAAAAATCAGATAAACTATCAATGCATGAACAAGAAAATCCAATGTGACTTGAAATACGATGAAATTGAAGGAAATGTTTATTGCAGAAATGAAACTTTGTTTAGTAAGACAAATATTTTTTGTACTTCAACGACGAATATTGCTGGAAGGATTGAGACTTTATCGATATTAGAATGTAACGAAGGAGATATTCCTGACAATTTATCGTCTTTTATTCCTACTACGACTCCATCGCCCTATACTATAACAACGACTGCCACAACTAAGCCTTTATCATTTGGAGCAAAAGCTCATGTTTTCATGCTTAAACTGATTGGAAGATTTGATGTTTTGGAAGATGAGACAAGTCCAAATGTCAACTCAATTTCTGGTTTTCGTCCTTGGTATCCTGAACCATTAAAGACCCCTGATATAGACACTTATGATTGGATGAGAACTATTTCGTATCCAAATAATATTACAAGATACGAACCTTTGCCTAAGAAACTGATTGAAGTTGCAGAGAAGACACCAGCATCTGAAATTCCTAAAAATTGGGTAAAAGTGTTGAAAATCGAATAGAATAAAGCTGGATTTCTGACCATTTAAAAAATTTGCAGACGATTTTTTATAAGTTCGTGGGTGCTTCCAAAATTCAGTTTAATGTTTACGTCACAGGTTTTATTCACAACAATTTCATAAATCAAAATATTTTTGACCTTTTGACATTTTTCTACTACATATTCTGGTGAGTTTCATTCAATAATACTGCATACGAAAAATAATCCAAATTCTATAAAGATAAGAATAAATACGTATTTTCTGTCATGAGATCGACCCTTAATTTGCGTATTTTTAATAAGATTATCTTATGACTTGTCTTACTATTTGAGAACTCTGAGTATAATTTTTTATTTTATTCTCTGAGCGATGGAGTTACATCCAGCTCCTGTTTTTCGTATAAACTCTTTACTTAAGTCAGTCTTAATACTAAACTTAACTTAATCTTATTAAAAATGAAATCAAAATCATGCAAAATTTTAATCGCATTGATTTTATTTATGTTTATTAAAACTAACCTTGATGCCAAAAGTATAGGAACAGGTAAAAAGTTTTATTTAAATCACGAAAGAGTGAAAATTAATTCAAACAAATCTTTAGAAAATCTTGCTTCTTACAACCCAACAACAGAGAGACAACTGTCATTCAATGCAAAAGCTCATCTTTTCTTCCTTCAACTTATTGGCAAAGGTGACCTTGCAGATGAAAAGCCAACAACTCCATACTCTGTATTACATCAACGAGACAATAAACCAACAGTAGCTGAGCATTCAACAAGTTCTCCACGACCCACAGAAGCAACAACTACAACAACTGAAGCTCCATTTGAGTGGATGGAACGATGGCCTGTTCAGTATGAAAATGGAACTTACGGAACATCATTAACTCCTGTTTCGAAAACAATCCTTGATATTTTTGAAAAAGCAAATGAATTTATGACTAAAAGAGGTGACCGGAAAGGATTAACTCCTCATCCACTATGGATTAAAGTTTATATAACTAAGCCCATGGAAGAGACGACAGAAACTTTGATTTCAGCTAGGACAACAATTTTTGAGAAAAATAGCACAGTTTCTACACTTTATGATACAATTAGTCCAAAGACAGAAGAAAATAACGACTAGGCCGAGCTGAACTGATCCTCTTAGTTGAAAAAAAAATTTAAAATGAAATATATTTTTTGATTTATAAAAGCAACAACTCAATTTATTTAAAACCGCTGAGCAATAAGATTCTCAGTTACTTTTAAGTTCTCAAAGAACGAAGATTAAAAAAAATTAATTTCAAATAAAATCATTTCGATAAGAATTATCAGCACAAATTGAGTAATTTTGCGGTTCAATAGTCGAATAAAGATAATAATAATAATATGAAGCATAGACTTTACATATTTTTATTCATTTTATTAGTGTCAACAAAAATAGATGCTAGAGGTAGGCAATTAATTGAAAATCAAATTTAAATTAACAATCCAATAGTCAAATACTCATAGGTGGTCGAGGTGGGTCTAGAGGCAGAGGTAGCATGCATCATGGTGGTGGAGGAGGTTTAGGATGGGCTTTTAGTAGTTACTTCGCAGATTCATCAGTTTATGGAAATAGTTTTGGCACCAAAGGTCTTCCTGACGATTCATACATCTCAAAGAATGACTATAGACATAAAGAATCAAATGGATTCTTAATAAGTTCTCTGTTCAATGGAAGATGGAATGAAGAAAAGGATAAAGAATGGCGGGAATCAACTCGTGCTCCTTATTTTGAGAATAAAATTCCTGACGATGAAAAACTATTTCCTGCTAGTGCTGTTCTTGGTATGTTCTATTGATTATCGTAGATCTTGACTAATTCAAAAACTTCCAGGCGCAGCAACAGCATTTGGTCTAGTTACACTACTCCCACTCAATGTTGCACCTGGAAAGCCTCTAATGTACTGCGACAACACAAAATTAATTCAATCACAAATTCGGATCAACGATCAAGATATTTATGTCTGCAACAATAGAAGAATTGAAATTTTATGCAAGAAAAATTCTGAAAATTCTGAATGCTTAAATGAGGAATTGCAATGTGATTTACATCAAGGAATTACTGATAATATTTACTGCTCACAAAACACACTGCTTAGTAGAACTTATCTCTTCTGCAGCTCAACATCAACAATTCACAAAAATGATTCAAATGAAAATGTGACAATTGTGAATTGCTTTGAAGGCCAACTTCCAAAAAGTCGAGTATCATTTATTCCTACAACTACAACGACCACAGAATCACCATTTTTCACACCAACTCCTAAGCCTTTGTCTTTAAGTGCAAACGTTCACATTTTCCTAATTAAATTAATTGGCAAACATGAAGCTTTAGAAACGACAACACGAGAATCATATCCAGTCACAGAAGATAATTATGCATGGTATCCAGAAGCATTAACAATTCCTCCAGAAACAACAACTCAAAAACCTATTCAAACAACAACAAAGCTTCCATACGTATGGATGGAAAAAGTATACGTATACCATGAAAATGGAACTGTTGAAACAACGTTTCGTCCTGCTCCTATACACTACCAACCTTATTCTTTTAAAACAGATCCAATTATTCTTCCTAATTGGTACCAAATCTACACAACATCTACTGAAGCATTTAAAGAAACCACAACTGAAGCAACGACTAAGAAACCTTACACATGGATGCGAAAGGTATTTTCAAGTGATCATGGAGACGCAGAAAAATTAGAGCCTGTGCCAAAAGATTTGGTTGAAATAGCTGAGCAATTTAGTCCATTCTTTCCCTCAAATTGGGTTAAAGTTTCTAATGGTAAAATTTTGGAAACAACGACTGAAAGTTTTTGGTGATTTGTTAAGTGTTAGAGTGAGTATTATCGTGTAAATATTTTTTGGAAGCATCCATTGTCGGTTTTGAAAGCCCAATTATTTAAATTTTTTAAAAAAAATAAAGTTTGAACAAAATGTAAAATTTGTAGATGCAAAGTTTATAATATTTTACAAATGTCAGTACAACGAGTATTATCTATCTTACTTATTTACTGTGAACATGTTCCTATGTGGAGCTTAGGTTACAACAAAAAGCTCTCCATCAAACTCTATTGCAGGCTCTGTCATCTACTTTCTACAATTTCTCTATCTGCACTGAAGCTGACATTCTTTCAGCTTTTGGAGTTCCTGGAAGTTGCTGGGGCTGCGTAGCTTTGAGCTGCTTATGATACACTTGGGGCAGCATATAAAACGATTGGGCTATAAGCGACTGGAGCGACTACTTTAGAGACAGCTGGAGCTGCATAAGAAACTGATTGAGAATATGAGATACTTGTGGTTCTGTCCCAGCATTGAAATTCTCTCTGGAGTATTATCAACAATGATTATTAACTGCTGAGCATATTTTCAGGCGAAATTATGTATGCAAATCTCTTTCTTGGTCTCCGGTGTCTCAATTTTGTTTTGATTTTTCTCTTTTTGGATTATTTTTATTAATATGGAACCTACAAAATTTGTTTGAACATGTGTTCATGATGTATCCTAAGTTTATCTTTAATCAAATTTTTACCTCTTGAATTGTCATGAAATTTTAATTCCAAATATTGCTTTCAGTAACAAGTAACAATTAGCTGAAAAACATCCCTTTTTAAAAGAACTCTTTTCAAAGCTTTAAAGGCACTCAGTCACTCTTAAGCTCTCAAAGAACGAAGATCATTTTTTTTTAATTTCACAATATTTATAATCATTACAAATTAAAAACACGCATTTTGTGTTCTAAACGAAAGAAAATGATAATTTTAAAATCAAGCATAACATTAATTGCTTTGTTCCTATTGTCTGGGAACATAGATGCGCGAGGTGGAGGACGAGGTTTGTAATTAATAGAAATCTATTTTGTATTAATTAATCTTAATTTATAAAATTTGAAGGTGGTGGTCGGAGTGGTTCAAGAGGCAGGGGAGGTATGCATCATGGCGGTGGAGGTCTAGGATGGGCTTTTAGTAGTTATTTCACAAATTCACAATACGGAGATTCTTTTGGTTCCAAAGGTCTTCCAGAAAATTCTTATATATCAAAGGATGACTATAAATATAAAGAATCTAGTGGATTTTTAATCAGCTCTCTGTTCAATGGACGATGGAATCAAGAAAAAGATAGAAAATGGCGGGAATCAACTCGTGCTCCTTATTTTGAGAATAAAATACCTGGAAATCAAGAGAAAATTCCAGCAAGTGCTATTGTTGGTAAGTATTTGTAATTAAACTAAGTCTTTGGTGATCAAAATTTGCCCATAAATCTGTAAAACAAAACCTTTATTGAATTTCATTAACCTTTCTTCCAGGCGCAGCAAAAGCATTTGGTTTGGTATCACTTCTACCACTCAATGTTCCACCAGGAAAGCCTCTAATGTACTGTGGCAATACAGACCTAATTCAGTCACAAATCCGAATCAACAAAGAAGCTACTTATGTCTGTAATAATGCCAAGATTGAAATTTCATGCAAAAAGAGTTTTGAGAATCAACTTGATCATGGATGTAAAAATGAGGTAATGCAATGCGACTTACAATATGGAGTTGCTGGAGCTATTTACTGTTCACAAGACACATTGTTCAGTAAAAATCATATTTTCTGCGATACGACAGCAACTGTAGATAGAAAGGATTTAAATGAAACTATGACAATTGTAAACTGTTACAAAGGTCAGCTCCCAAAAAGCCAAGCTTCTTTCGTACCTACAACCACATCGACAACAGAACATTCATATTTCAATATATTTACAACAACTCCTAAGCCTTTGTCATTTAAAGCAAATCTTCATGTTTTTCTCATTAATTTAATTGGGAAATCTGATGCTTTAGAAACGACAACACCTGATGTATATCCATTTACAGGCAGGAATGCGTGGCATCCAGAAGCATTGACAATTCCACCGGAAACAACCACAACAACACCAAGGCCAACAACAACAAAGCTTCCATACGTATGGATGGAAAAAGTATACACATATCATGATAATGGAACTGTTGAAATAACAATTCGTCCAGTTCCAAAACACTTGTTGCCTTTTCCTTTTGAAACAGACCCATTCATACCATATGATTGGTTTAAAGTCTATACAACTTCAACTAAAGCTTACGAAGAAACAACGACAGAATTAAAAACCACAACAACTACAGAAGAACCTTATGTATGGATGATGAAAGTTCCTTCTGATGATTCTAATGAGAAAGAGAGATTGGAACCTGCACATAGTGAAATTGTTGACCTTATTGAAAATTATGGCTCATGCATTCCTGAGAATTTTGTGAAAGTTCCTAGAAGTAAAGCTTATAAATTTTCATAAATGTTAGAGTGAATGCCCGAAAAGCTTCGATTTAAATCCAAGACCATGCCAGTGTCTCACTAGCTTAGTGCGGGTTTTCTGATCGATTAACCGACTTGTGCCATTTGGGCTATTGATTAAGTGCTACCCACTCGGACAAATCCTTTGCTTTAAGACAAGAAAATTCATTTTAAGTTTGAAAAAACTAATGTAAATTTAAATTAAGTCCAGTAAATTTTTAATGATTTATTATAGCTCTAGTTAACAAAATAAGTAATCAAATATTGAATATAATCGCTCTTTATCAATAAAATGTCGTCATTTTCAATGTCATTAAATAGCTGGAGTCTCAATTATTTACTCTTCTTCATAAAATACTCATTTTGTAGAAAGTCTTCGTGATTTCAAGGAACAGATTAAGAATGTTTGATGTCATTTTCAAGTGACGTACATTAAATACACGCATTGAAGTGATGATTCATTCAGAAAAAATCTTCACAGAACTCAAAACATTCAAATTTGTCAAAACAAAAAGCTTTGAGCAAGTAAGATTTTTTAGTTCCTTTTAAACTCTCAAAGAAAGAAGATTATTTTTGAAAATTTTATTACATTTGTTATCATCACAAATTTAAATACACAAATTAAGGTTTAAATAATTAAAAATTATGATTTTGGAAGCTGGAATTATGAATTTCCTCTCCAAAACATTAATTGCTTTATTGCTATTATCAAGGACCGTAGATGCTAGAGGTGGAGGAAGAGGTATGAAATATTGAATCCTTAAAAATAAGTTTAATCAAATCAATATCCTCAGGTGCTGGGCGTGGCGGATTTAGAGGCAGAGGTTCAGGATTACATCGTGGTGGAGGTGGATATGGAAGTTATGGAATATTTCAAAATTCAGCTTCGACTGTTTCATCTGGAACTTATTCAGATCCTTGGCCATCTGCTTATGGAACAACGTTTGATGACAATGGTCCTCCTGAAGACTCATACATCTACAATAATTTCTATAAAGATTGGGATTCTAATAAGTTCCTAATAAATTCTCTTTTTTATGGAGTGGGGATGAAAAAAACTGGTCCAGAAGAAACAAAAAAGAATTATGACTCAATTGGTTTGGAAGATTTTTATAGAAGATGGAATGATGAACAGGATAAAGAATGGAGAACTTCTACCAGAGCTCCATATTTCGAAAATAAAATTCCAGGTGATCAAAAACTATTTCCAGCTAGTGCTGTTGTTGGTAAGCATCTTATTAAATTATAAATATTGAAAGTTGCTCATCCTTTAAATATATAATTAGGTGCTGCAACAGCATTTGGCTTAGTTTCTCTACTTCCACTAAACGTGCCAACAGGAAAGCCTCTCATGTACTGTGGAACCACGAATTTAATTCAATCATCAATACGAATCAACGATATCGACAATTATGTTTGCAGAAAAAGGACACTTTTTAAGGTTACATGCAAAACAGATTATCAAAAAAAATTAGAAGATAAATGTGAAATGAAGGAAGTGGAGTGTGACTTAGATGATAAAGTTTCCAGAAAATTTTACTGTATACATGGAACACTGTTAAGTACAATGTCAATTTTCTGCAATTCAACGACGTCTGTTCATAAAAATAAGTTAAATAAACAATCAATTATAAAATGTTACGAAGGTCAATTACCAAAAAGTCAAACTTCATTCATTCCTACAACCACATCAACAACAGAATTTCCAATAACATCAACAACTCCTAAACCTTTGTCTTTAAGTGCTAATGTTCATATTTTGCTTTTAAAATTAATGGGGAAATCGGATGTTTTGGAACCAGAAACCTATCTATCTTCTGAAAGTAATGCATGGCGTCCAATAGCACTTCAATTTCCTCCTGAAACGACAACTGAAAAAGTCAAAACAACAACAACAAGAGTCCCATACGTGTGGATGGAAATTGTATTTGATAATAGTACTGGAGTAACATCATATCAGCCAATTTCAAAGCATCTGAATGAAGATCCAACTTATATATCCTCAAATTTGTTTAAAGTTTATACGACATCTACCGAGCCATATGTTGAAACTACAACAAAATCAATGACAACAACTCAAATTCCTTATATTTGGATGTCAAAAAGTGCTGCAACTGACAAAAATCGAGAACCATTACTTGTACCGGTTCCAGAAAGCATGATTGAAGTTGCAGAACTGTTCAATTACTATCCTAAGAGTTGGGTTAAAGTTCCAGTGACCAAAAATGATGATACAACGACAACAAAGTCATGATTTGTTTAGTTTAAAAGGTTGTACAAATAACGAATAGAACTAATGATTATGATAATGTTCTAAGCTGTCCTTAACGTTTTTAAAATAAAAATACAAAGAACTAGGTTGAATCAAGTCAAAATAGTTTTAGATGGCATTTGTAGCTAACCACATCCATTCTCCTATCACATCCTAAAACCATTTTGAAATTTCTAGTCTTTTTTTTGTAAATATGACAACTTAGGATATAGCTGGTAAATTTTTGAATAGGAGTGAAAATAATTTTTTGACAACTCTCAATTCAATCAAATGACTGAATTTTCGAAAATATAAAAGATCAATGTATTTAGCACTGAATAAAATGACTCTCAGTTCCTCTTAAATGCTCAGAGAATAAAGATTATTTTATTTTTGTTTATGTTAAAAAATTATCAGCATAACATTTGCGGTTCACTTGACATCAAAAATGAAAGCATTGAAAATAAAAAGGAATCAAATTTTTGTATTAGTTATTTTGAGTCTTCTGTCCAGACATACAGATGCTAGGGGAGGAGGGAGAGGTAAGAAATGAATTAATATCGGCACAGATACAGTTAGAGTATTTCAGGTGGTCGTGGAGGGATGTATTCAGGTGGAGCGGTCGTTGATGATTCATCATCACTTCATAACAACGGTCTTACAGCTGGTGCAGCTACATCATCAGGATTAAAGTCATCAATTCCATTTGATGTTGCCCCAGGAAAGCCTCTCATCTACTGTGGAACTTCAAAATACATTCAGTCCCAAATTCGAATCAACAACGAGGATATTTATTTTTGCAATAAAAAAAGAATTGAAACTTCATGCTTAAAACAAGCATATCATGAATGCAGCGATGAAAGAATGCAATGTGACTTGGATGATGGAATTCTAGATAATATGTTTTGTCAAGATGATACGCTGTTTAGCAAAGCTTTAATTTCTTGTAATTCAACAACGGTTGCATACAAAAAGAGTGAAAAATTGACAATTCTTAATTGTTATGAAGGTAAGCTTCCGGAAAATAAGCTTTATTGCTTTAGCTTCTGTTATCAATAATAAAATCTGAATATTATATTTTAGTTCTAGTTCAAAATTCACAAAGCATTTCTACTAAAAAGCCGTTGTCGTTTAGGGCAAATGTTCACATTTTTCTACTTAATCTCATTGGACAATCGGAGATCTTAAATGCAACAACATCTAAATATAATTTACTAGTGTAAAATTACCTATAGCTGAATAGTCAAATAAGTAAATAAATATGCGGAATAGGCTAAATGTGTAATTTTATGAACTGATCATAATTGTAATTGGAAATCCTTTACTAATTCAACTGCATGACTTAATATTACTCATCATTCTCTATCGTAATTAAGTCGTCATACTTAACGTCAGCAAATATATTCTGACTTCTCGATTTTGTTTACACTTTCTTTCTTGAGAATTAAACCTTATTTTAAATTCATCGCTCCTGACTTTAAAAGAGATGATAATGTGAGCGTGAATTAAGTTTATAAGCTAAATTGTACTCAAATTTTAAGAGCACACTTTCAGTCACTATAAAATACAGAGCATATAATTACTCAGTCATCAACAAGTGTCCATCAAGGAAAGATTCAAAAATAATAATAATACGAGATCTTATCATCTCAAAATTAATCAACAAATTTACGGTTCAATTGACAAAATTATATCAATTGATAACCATGAAAGGAATTAACATCGCAATATTTGTTTTACTGCTAATAAGTAGTAATACAGATGCCAAAGGAGGACGAGGTATTATCATATTTTTATTTTATGTTCAATTTCACTATTTCAGTTAAATTTTAGGCTCTAGTGGAGGGTCACGTGGTTCATCTTCACGAGGGAGCAGCTCAAGAGGAAGCAGTAGTGGAGGTGGCTGGTTTGGAAGTTCAAGATCTTCTCCTTCATATTCATCTCCCTCATATTCAAGACCTTCACCATCATACACTTATAGTGCACCATCTCCATCTTACACATATTCTCGTCCATCACCTTCACCTTCCTATACACACAATTCACCATCGCCTTCTTATGGATGGAATACAGGGGGAAGTAGTCCAAGTGGAAGCAGCTTTGGTTCAAATACAGCTTCCAAGCCTTCAAGTACAAATTATGGATGGAATGTAGGAAGTAACACTGGAAGCACGAATACAGGATTAAAACCAGGAACTAATATTGGATGGAATTACAATAATCCGTCAGCACCAGTTGGACCTCCACCATCGTACCCAGGCATGCAAAATCGTCCAGTTCCAAGCCATAATTCTCCCCCTTCCTATTCGCCAAGTTATAATAATCCACCAGCATATAGTCCTTCACATTTTAATTCTCCATCCTATAATTCACCAAGCTACAGACCATCACCGTCTTACAGTCCATCTTACAGTTCGCCAAGTTATAATAGCAGACCATCTCCTTCATATGGCAGTGGAAGTAACATTCCCAGAACTAATGTATATGGAACTCATTCATCTAGTCCTGGATACTATACAAACAGTCATCAAAACTATTACGGAAATACTTTTGGAAGTCAAGGTGTTCCTGGAAATACATATATCTCAAATAATTATTATGGGAATCAACGTTCAGGTGGATCAGGATTTTTAACTAATGCTATGTTCTATGGTGCTGGTATGCATAGTGGATATGGATGGGGACGATCAAGTGGTTATAATAATTATGGACATAATGGTTATTATGGTAACTCTGGATATGGCAACAGTTATGGATATAGTCGAAGACAATGGGATGAAGAAGAGGATAGAAAATGGCGACAAACTACTCGTGCTCCATATTTTGAGAATAAAGTTCCTGGAGAGGACAAAATTCTGCCTGCTAGTGCCGTTATTGGTAAGTGCAGTTTTTTTAATATCCAAAATTTTGCTAATAATTCGTTTTCATTTAAGGTGCTGCAACTGCATTCGGATTGGCTTCACTACTTCCTCTCAATGTTCCATCGAATAAACCACTCATGTATTGTAATAATACTGACCTAATGCAGTCACAAATTCAGATCAATAATGAATACATCTATCACTGCATTAATGGATCAATTGTAGTTTCGTGCTTAAAACATAGCGATGACAACTTAACTCTAAATATTGTTAAAGATCAAATCCAGGCAGATTTAAATCAGACAAAGGATATCATGAATCAAACTGAAGTTATTGGAAATCAAACAGGTCAAATTTTGACTCAATTAAATCTGGTAGAACCTTTTTTCAACCAAACCAAAGCTCTATTAAATACAACAGAATCTAAGTGTTCAGGAAATGTGGTGATCATGGAATGTGATTTGTCTGACGAAGAAGTGACTGGAAATCTCTATTGTAAGAAAGGCACACTGATGAGTAAAAACTTAATATTCTGCAACGCTACAACACTCCTAAATGGCACAATGATAGTTAATGGAACTAGTATAAATACAACAACATCAATTCTCAATTGCTTTGAAGGTCAAGTACCAGAAAAACAAGCATCATTTATTCCAACGACTACCCAAGCGCCAGTAACGACAACAGAACGGTCATTGTCATTTGGAGCTAGAGCTCATATGTTCTTCCTTAGCATAATCGGTAAAGATGATATTGTAAACCAAAAGCAAAAAGCAGAAGATATTCCACAATTATCAGATAATGAAACATGGATTCCTGAGGCTTTAACTCTTCCTCCTGAAACTACCACTGAGTCTACAACCACCACAACAACAACTGAAGCCCCATTTGAATGGATGATGATAGTTAAAAATTTCCAATATCCAAATGGAACTTTTGGAACTACGCATTCTCCTGTTCCGAAATTCCTTTTTGACGCACGTGTTTTAATGAACGATGTTCTTACAAGCATGGGAAGTACAACCACAATTGATCCTAATTGGTTCAAACTTTACAAGACAACAACTGAATTGCCAATTGAAACCACTGAATCCACAACAACAGAAGCGCCATTCGAATGGATGATGGCTGTACCAAAAGAATATGAAAATGGAACTTATGGAACCACACTTAGACCTGTTCCAAAAGAATTGATAGAAGTGCAAGATAATATTAGAAGGTTGCTAAATAGAATGAGTAGCGAATCGACAACATCCAATCCACTTTGGATCAAAGTGTACAAAACCACTGAATCATCAAATGTAACTGCAATAGAATCTGTAAGTTCGTCAACAGCAGATGATGAATCGTATGAATGGATGCGAAGAAAGTTACAACAAGGAAGTGACGGAATTGAATTGGAACCAGTTCCTGAAGATGAATTGAAGATAACTCAGATGCATAATTATACAATCCCTTTAGATTGGGTTAAAGTTCCTAAAAATAAGACTATGGAAACAAGCACTCTAAATCCCTAAATTCATTTTGGATATAAGTGATTTATAAGATGTAAGCTTAAGAACTGAGTCCTCGAATTTAGAGATTTTAGAGATTCAGTTCCAAACCTTAACCATTCCTAGCTTAGAATCTAAATTGAATATTACTGCAAACTTTGCAATAATTATTAAAGTTTCATTTGACCCCAAAATTTGAACTTTTCAGCTCCAAAACTTAACCATTCCTAGCTTAGAATCTAAATTGAATATTACTGCAACGTTTGCAATAATTATTAAAGTTTCATTTGAACCCAAAATTTGAACTTTTCAGCTCCAAACTTAACCATTCCTAGCTTAGAATCTAAATTGAATATTACTGCAACCTTTGCAATAATTATTAAAGTTTCATTTGACCACAAAATTTGAACTTTTCAGCTCCAAAACTTAACCATTCCTAGCTTAGAATCTAAATTGAATATTACTGCAACCTTTGCAATAATTATAAAAGTTTCATTTGACCACAAAATTTGAACTTTTCAGCTCCAAAACTTAACCATTTCTAGCTAAGAATCTAAATTGAATATTACTGCAACCTTTGCAATAATTATTAAAGTTTCATTTGACCACAAAATTTGAACTTTTCAGCTCCAAAACTTAACCATTCCTAGCTTAGAATCTAAATTGAATATTACTGCAACGTTTGCAATAATTATTAAAGTTTCATTTGACCACAAAATTTGAACTTTTCAGCTCCAAAACTTAACCATTCCTAGCTTAGAATCTAAATTGAATATTACTGCAACGTTTGCAATAATTATTAAAGTTTCATTTGACCACAAAATTTGAACTTTTCAGCTCCAATACTTAACCATTTCTAGCTAAGAATCTGAATTGAATATTACTGCAACCTTTGCAATAATTATAAAAGTTTCATTTGACCACAAAATTTGAACTTTTCAGCTCCAAACTTAACCATTCCTAGCTTAGAATCTAAATTGAATATTGCTGCAACCTTTGCAATAATTATTAAAGTTTCATTTGACCACAAAATTTGAACTTTTCAGCTCCAAAACTTAACCATTCCTAGCTTAGAATCAAAATTGAATATTGCTGCAACCTTTGCAATAATTATTAAAGTTTCATTTGACCACAAAATTTGAACTTTTCAGCTACAAAACTTAACCATTCCTAGCTTAGAATCAAAATTGAATATTACTGCAACCTTTGCAATAATTATTAAAGTTTCATTTGACCACAAAATTTGAACTTTTCAGCTCCAAAACTTAACCATTCCTAGCTTAGAATCTAAATTGAATATTACTGCAACGTTTGCAATAATTATTAAAGTTTCATTTGACCACAAAATTTGAACTTTTCAGCTCCAAAACTTAACCATTCCTAGCTTAGAATCAAAATTGAATATTACTGCAACCTTTGCAATAATTATTAAAGTTTCATTTGACCACAAAATTTGAACTTTTCAGCTCCAAAACTTAACCATTCCTAGCTTAGAATCAAAATTGAATATTACTGCAACCTTTGCAATAATTATTAAAGTTTCATTTGACCACAAAATTTGAACTTTTCAGCTCCAAACTTAACCATTCCTAGCTTAGAATCTAAATTGAATATTGCTGCAACCTTTCCAATAATTATTAAAGTTTCATTTGACCACAAAATTTGAATTTTTCAGCTCCAAAACTTCAGCTCATGAAGGATTGATAAAACACTTTGTAAGCTGAATAAGCACAGAACAGACATTTTACTTATTGTTTAAAAATAAATTTAGACTGGCTGAACATTCGTTAACTAACCTAACCCAATAAAATATTGAATAAAAGACCTTGATGAACTACATTCAAATGTTTTAGCCTTATACATGATAGAAATATCAAGGAATTAGTAAAATGATTCGCGATAATTACAATCACACTACGGGTACAACTCAATGTTTTTATTATTGTGTACATTCGTCACTCAAATTCGTGATAAGAGAATTAAATTAAAATTAAATTCTCACATAAGAGTCAGTAATAATAGAAATGTGGACCTTGTATGTTGGAATTTTCATAGCTCTTGTATGGATTCTTGATTATTTTCTGCTAGACAGAAGGCAATTCAAGCTGGTAAGAAGATTAAATCATCCACTAAGATTACCATTAATTGGTCAGGCATGGTTGGCATTAGGGATTAAACCAAGTCGTAAGTAAATTATTAAATTTGATATTAATCATAATTTGACGAGTCCCCAAAATAATTTTAGAAACGCGCGAATTTATCGACAAACTCAATAAAGGATACAATCAGCTATTTCCCAATGTTTTGTGTATTTACATAGGAAATAAGTTAGAAGTTGGCTTATCAAATTACAAATACGTTGAAAGAATTTTAACTTCAACAAAGTTTATTGCAAAAAGTTCACTGTATGATTTCTTGGGAGACGTACTTGGTGAAGGATTGTTATTCAGCACCAACCAAAAATGGTTCGAACGTCGCAGGATTATCACACCGACTTTCCATTTTAAGATTTTAGGTCAATTCTTTGAAGTTTTTCAGAAACATAGTGAAAACTTATGCAGAGAGTTGGAGAACTTAGCAGACGGTCGTACATTCGACGTTACACCTCATATTAACATGACTGTCTTGAAATCTCTTTGCGGTAAGTCCTTAACTACTCTTGTTGACTTATTCTTATGAGTTTTCAACTTTAGAAACCGCAATGGGCTGTGAAATAAATGAAAAAGACTACAGCTACTTGAATGCAGTCAAGGAACTTAGCTATCATGTTGCAACAAACTTTTTAACCCCATGGCACCGAATAAAATTGCTTTACAATCTTACACCGACTAAAAGAGCACAAGATAAGTGTGCAAAAATCATTCACGATTTTACAACAAAGTTAATTGAGGAACGAAGAAAGATGTTGATAAAAAGTACCGAGAATCAAGATTTGAGTGACCTTGACAACGACGAAATTGGATTAAAAAGAAAAATGTGCTTACTTGATGTCTTGCTTCAATCTACGTCAAATGGTAAGCCACTGAGTAATGATGACATCCGAGAAGAAGTCAACACCTTTACATTTGCTGGACATGACACAACAACAATTGCAACGTGCTTTACACTTTACATGATTTCGAAACATGTGGATGTTCAGCAAAAATTGAACAAAGAAATTGAGGAAGTCTTAGGAAAAGATGAAGTAACTTTCAAGAGTTTAAGCGAGTTTAAATACCTAGATATGGTCATTAAGGAGACACTTCGTTTATATCCACCGGTTCCGATTATATCAAGGAGATTATATGATGAAGATGATTTTGGAGACTTTGTGGCACCTGGAAATGCTAATTACAATCTATTCTTATATTCTCTTTTGAGAAATCCAGCCAATTTTGAGAAACCTGATGAATTTAATCCTGACAGATTTTTGGAGAATATTACACCATTTGGATTCATTCCGTTTAGTGCTGTAAGTATAATAATTCTTGATAACATAAAATTCATATAATAATTATCAATTCTTGCAACTTCCCAAGGGTCAACGAAACTGCATAGTAAGTACAACTACCAATATAACCTGGTTAAATCAATAAAAATTAATTTTTACAGGGTCAAAAATTCGCCATGATCAACATCAAAACAACAATCATCAACATTCTCAGAAACTTTGAAATATTTCCAGGATTTATTGAATCTAAAATAGAGTTCCACATCACACTCAAATCCAACGGCTCATTTATAGCTTTACAAAAGAAAATCAAATAAAAGCTCCTCAAAAAAAGCTCAGTAAAGACACAAACCACATTTATATTCACAACATTTTCTATAACTTGTTTGATCAATCGAGTCATCGCATGACATTTCGCGCGCAATTATGCTTAACAATAAAAACAATGCACTGTATGTGCCGTAGTTTTTGGGTCATATGGAATTTTCTTTTATTTTCTTTTACTTCTCGCCGTACACGCAAACGTATAGAAGCGCCACAACGTGTTACTATGGACAACGATAAACACAAGTAAACAAAACTCATCAAAAAAAATTATTCTTTAAAGGAATTGGAGCAATTTTGCATTAAAAAAAGTGTCATAAACTTTTGCATTTTAAAATTTTTTAATCATATATTAAAATGTTGAAGCATTGTAGTCGTAGTCGTATGAATAGTGTCAAAAAGAAAGCATTGGAGAAGTCTGTATTGCAAGATATGAACTTTTTATCACTCAAAGAATTTTATAATAGCATTCCAGGTGTGTTTAAGGACATTCTTATGCAATAGAAATTTTCTTTGAGGTGAAAATTAATTTTTTTTTTAATATTTTTTTTTGCAGACTATAGCGACATGAATCATCTTCCAGAACGTGAATTTTATCATGAACTAGATTTATTAAAAAAGAAGCAGCAACAATTAACAGAGCCTAAGGAACCGATTAAAAAGAAAAGACCAAAATCGAAATCTGACAAGTGCAGTTCTAGAGCATCTTCACACCATTTTGATCATTTTATTTGTCCAAACGATTATGAGACCAAAAGGAACATCACCGAACGAATTAGCTTCGCCGATGATGGAAATTCAATTTGTTCATGGCAATTAGATTTTGATGGATCAATTACATGCAAAAAACGAGATAATTTGTCTCGTCTATCATCCGCTACATCTCGCCCACGAACAAGTCGAACTGAATCGCACTGTCGGAAGCAAACATCTCGATTATCAAACATTCAGGATGACTATGAGTTGTTGAACTCACTCAAAAATTATCGGAGTAAATCAATCAGTCCAACACGTAGTCAATTAAATGATAGCAAGTATCAAAAGGAACTAGAAGGTGACGCAAAGTTTTATAGTGATCTAACGTATGATAAATTAAAAGCTGTGGATCATACGATTAAAAGAGATCCAATTAAGGATATTCCAATAACATCACGTATACCACTCTTTAAAAAAGTCATGGAAGATAAGGAACATAAGTAAGTGCAACTGTTAAAGATGTCTTAAGACAAATTCTCAAATAATTTTTCAAATTCTAGAAGCCAATTGGCTAGACTTAATTCAGCAATAAAGCTTCAATCTCAAATGAAGCCATTCCACTTCTATGAACGTAGCAATGCTCGTAGTTCATCTCGCAGATGTCTAAGTCGTAGTCTCTCTACACCACAATTAGGAAATTGTGATTTTTCCGATAATGAGGATGTCGATTCAACGTCATTTAAGGCAAAACCATTTCCTAAGAATCTTTTTTGCAATTTTTTCCATTATAAAATGTGGGAAGATAATTATTTTAGGTAAATAAAAAAATAGACTTGACAGTCTTGACTTTTAGCCTAAATATAGACGGAAAAAAATTATATATTTATTGATTTTTGCTTGTCTCGCGAAATTAGGGCTTTAAACAAAAAATTGAGGGCAGAGGAGCTTTTAAAAATATCTAAATTTCCGCCGTCGATGGCAAAGCGCGAGGAAGAAAAGAAGAAAAATGAAGCGATTGATGAATTGGAACAAGCACAAGCAGTAACACCAAGCATATTGAAGCAAAGTGTCGAATTCTCACCAATTCTGTCCAAGAAAAAGAGAATGCGTAAGAAATTGAGAAAGACTAAAAGTGCAATCGCATCGTCACGCAGTCAATTCGCAAAGTCCTACATTTTTGACACCAAACGTGATCGGGATAAAGGAAGCGTTAAAGTAATGTGACCAAAATTGTTAACAATTTGTTTTAAATGAAAGATTTCTTTTAGTCGGACACAACAGCAACAACAATGAATACCCTCAAGCATCGCGAGACTCCGAGTGATAATATAACACCAATTTATCCCGTGAATCGTCCAAATTTAGCAGCAACATTACGTTATGAATGGAGTCGCGAGAAAATTAAGCATTATAAAGAAACAAAAGAAATGTTGATGCGTGACAAATTTCGAAGGCCTTCATGGGGTGTGAAAAATACCCACGCATTCCAGCAATTAGCTCATGAGTAAGTCGTTTATTATTTTATTGACCGTTCCCTGATAGGATTTAATGTTTCATTAAATTTTAAGGGCATCGAACGATGAAGAAATCGCACTGCGACTGGCAACAAGAAAAGCAGAACAGAAGCTCCGGCAAGAAGAGCACGAGTTGAACATGGAAATGATGAAACAAAGAGTCAAAACAGCACCATTGTTGCTCGAAGGGCCAACACAATTAGCACCACGTCTTGGTCACATTTATCACAATTGCGACATAGCAGATGATAAGAAAAAGCTTGATGGATTGATCCAACAAAATAACCTTCTTAAAGTTCCAGTTATGCATCATAAATCAAATCGACCTGGATCTACAATTTCAAGTACTGACAGTAAACGATCAGAAAGTACTTATAATACAAAAACTACGTAAGATGGTTTCATATTTATTTTGTAGTGAAATATTGGTTGAGGACTATGGAACAGGATAAGTAGAAGATTTCTGAAAATTATTAAAATTGAAAACTATAAATTCGAAAGTGAAATTTTGAAATAATTGAATTGAAAATTTCAATCCTGAAAATTCCAAATAAACTTTACTTTTAAGAAAAGTGGAGAATTTCGAAATTTAAAACTTTAAGTTCGAAAGTGAAATTTTTAATTTCGAAAGTGAAATTTTTTATTTCGAAAGTGAAAACTTAAAGTTCGAAAGTGATAATTTTAAAAATTAAATTTCAATTTCGAAAGTAAAATTTCAATTTCGAAAGTAAACACTTGAATTTTGAAGGAAAACATTTGAATTTTGTAAGTGAAATGTCAATTCTCAAAGTGAAAAATTAAGTTTCGAAATAATTATTTTAGATGAAAATTTTAAAATTCTGTAAAAGTCTTCATAGTCCACAATATAAATTAATTTTAATTAACGAATTTATCTGTATTATTATGTACAAATTTTTTATAATAATTTATATAATATTTAGCCTAATATAAATTCTATGATTTTTGGCTTCACAAAACTGCCTTAAAATGTAGCAATAATTTTGTACAGTGCCGCTATTTACATAAAATTTGAATTATCGATATGAGAAATAAATATGAAAAACATATACCGCATATTTAAAACAAACACCAGAAATTATTGATTTTCGGTCAAATTACAGCTTTGTTTATTTTTGAGCTCGATGCAACAAATTTTTTCTTCAGAACTAATTAATAAAATAAGGCACAATTCCTAAAAAAAGCATCATATTTAATTTCAAATTAAATTTAATTTGAATTCATAAATTTTTACTTCCGAAACACAATAATCGACGTCATTATATTAATGCCATCAGAACCTGACCTATCCTAACCGCATGCTTATCTTCAACATCTTATATCAATCGAAACAATAACATTTACTTTATATTCATTCATCCCACACATCATATCAATATCCTATAAATCAATTCTTTTGGTTAAACGAAACTTTTTTTTGTGTAATGACGTGACATTTTCGTGATGAAAAGCTCATATTAAAAGTTGATATAATTCATACAATATACATCACAGTATCGTCGAGCAATAATATTTTATTGAAGATGTTCTAGAACAAAAGTAAATATTAACTTAAGCTTTCGTGTTGCTAAAGCCCCCAAATGCTCAAGTAAAATGTAATATCATGAGACGTTTCATCATCAACGTCCTGAATAATTAACTTTTCCATGAGGATAAAAACGTTTTGTTTTTTAATGGCTTGACGGAAAGTGCTCATGCCTTCAGTTTGTTCGCTTGCTTTCTATTTTTCATTAATAGGAATTCCAAGAAAGATTTTTTTTATCGAATTTCATTTTGAAATGAATTGTTTATGCAATAGATTGTTGACTTTGGATAGTAAGCAGTTTTGGTAAGTTACTCAAGTGTTTTGAAATGTGAATGACACACTAGGAAACTTAATGTTGCTTCCAGAATCTCCAAAACTATCCAAACTTAAATAGTTCAAATTTACAATTATTAATAATCAATAAATTGATAGTAAATAGCATGTTGACAACGACAGTGTGCACGGAAGTCCTTCTATTAATAGACATTATCTTAACTGTTGCTAATTGCTTTTGACAATAGTCCAATTTGGTTTTAACTCATCGATGGCATGTCACAGAAGGGACTTTTTAATGGATGTAACCAAAATTGGTATACAAAAGGAACATGAAGACTGTAATGGTATGCAGGAGAAATTATATTGAAAGTCTCTAATTCGTTAACGAATTGTTCAAGAATTTAAACTTTTTGATGAGAAACTGAGTCTTGATTTGTCACAAAATAATGAAAAATGAAAGTGCCAATCTAGATCCTCGATGCCTTTCTTCTCAAGAATTGTGGGTATCAAACCCACTCAAATCTAACTCAAAGACATTCAATACGGTTGTCATGATTCATGAATTACGAGACTATCATAATTGATAACCTTTTAAGCTACAAAATTCAAATAAAAACCCTACGTGTCTTCCTCCACAAGACAATTTCAAAAAAACGATTGACCGAAAAGTTCTTGCTTTCATGACTCGTAAAAAATTCTTATTTGTTCATATTTATAAAGTTCTATTTTGAATATTTAATCGGATGTCCTTTGAAGAATAAATTAATAAGTATGTCTTTAATAATAGAACATGCTCAATTTTTATTTTGTTACAAAGCTTCCGATTTTGATGCTACGTGATGTTCCATTAATTTATTGTTCATTCAACAAATAAACTTTTTTAAGGCTTAACAATACTTAGTGCTGTTTAATAAATCTCATCATCTTGTCACATTCCCTCACATCTGCATTTCGTCATTTCACTTGATGAATCAAGCCCACTTTGCCTTCAAGAGAGGAGCATATGATTTATTTCCGTACCTTACACATGTCAGTTCTCATTAGAATTTTAAATTAATCTCTTAAAAAACTTTTTGACACAAAAGTCGAGTGTCGCTGTAACATTTCATCAGCACCACCCCGAAACAAAACAAAAAAAGCTTTAGAATCAAATGAACAATGATGAAAAAAGTATGAATAAACAGCACGAACGCCACTGGCATGAAGCTTCGTTGTGCAACATTCGTAAAACATTGAAATATCTTTCCCTCCATTGAGCTTGTTATTAAGCGATTGAAATGTTCAATTGTCATTAGTCTGATATATACCTCCACTGAAATTAGATCGCTATCAATCATTAATCGTGTAAAGTGGTGAAAACTTAAAGACAACAGAATTTGAGGAATTACGTTTGATCTATAAAAAAATAATTTAACTCAATTTTGGATAAAACTTCACGTACACAACATAAATAATTAAAGTTACAGTTTCTTGTGTCTAAAAATTTGTCACAGTTACAAATAAAAAATTAAGCAAGAAGGAACATAAAAAAAGGTGCAGAGTCAATCATGCCTGAACCACAAATAAATAATTACACAAGTGAATCAGTTTTAAGTGATGAAGAAAGACAGCATCGAATTGAGGAATTAAGAAAGATGATTGAGGGTAATTATTATATATGAAGCTTTTAAGTATATGAGCTTATGGAAATGAATTATGATTGAGTTTATATGAGCATCGTCAATATTTTTTAATGGATATATGTAATGAGTAAATTAAAAAAAAGATGAAATTTAATAATTAAAAGATTTTTTTGTGGTTACAAAGAGTAAGGTGCTGTTGATGAAATTAAATGAAATCGCGGAAGATGATTTGCATTTTTTTTTTGTAAATGTTGCATGATCTGGATTGGCTTAAACAGAGTTTTAATGCTACGGCACTTAGTTCTTTATTTAATTGACTAGCTTTTGAAAATATGTAGCAGCTATAAATATGTTTGAATCATAAGGGCATACATTGACTGAAAAACAATTAACACAAACCTAGGTTGCGCTCAAGTCAATGACATGGTCACAAAAGAGTCTTTGGAGTCAGCTTTGTCTCGACAGGAAATCGAACCATATCCCCCCCCCCCTCCCTCTTCCCTTCCATTCTAATCAAATAAAAAATATTAAACCTCCCTCAGAAAACGGCTGTTGAAGCCTTAGTCCTTACTTATCAAGTTATTAGACTATGTTCTTGTCAAAAATGTTAAAAACCAAGCAAATACTATAGCCTAGAGTACTATAATTTTGCAATTTATATTGTACCATAATCTATCATCTTTACAACAGTCTAGCCTTAATTCGTTAAAATCATCGCATGTAAACAATATTTAAAGCAGAATTTCGGTCAGGAACAAACATCAAGATTCTTCTTCTTGAACCAGAAACAAATGTTCCACTTTGATATGAATACAAAATCAATAATTTACTTCCTGCGAGAGCAGCTTTTATGATAGATTGACAGTAAAAGCTTTCATTCTTTGAAGTTCACACGAATCAATTGATTTAATGGCATCAAAACCAACAAAAAGCCTTTCAGAAAACTTAATGAAATTTTCTATAATTCATAGGGTGGCACATCAAGTAACTCTATGAAATCTTAAGCTTTCTGCAGAAAAAAGCCATAAATTTTACTGATTCTAAGAAATTGTTTCTTCGTCCAAGAAATGTTCATGACCACAAATTTTACGATAAGAAGTAATAATTGTACACAATGTCAGCTGTTCTTCGCTTCCTATTTTGAATACACATTTATTGAATTTCAATTTGTAATTCTTACTCCGCATGCAATGACAATAAAATGTAAATTTATTATTTACTACGAAATTCATTAAAAATGACAGCGCGCTCATCACGAAATTTCAAAGTGCAACTCCAAAGTCCACATTTTAAAGTGATAATAAATTTTTAAAGTCGCATAAGAGCTAGTCATAGTAAATATTTCGCAAAGGTTTTTTTTTTGCAATATCGAATGCCTTTGATAAACCGGTCGCCTAAAATAGATGAAAATGTTTTGTTTACTTATCAAGTAAGAGAGTCACGACAGACTATTTTTGAGATTTTGAGAGTAGGGCGCAATTTTTTGCTTATTTTTGTATAAATAATGATGTGTCATTGGATTTGGAAGTTGAATTTTTAGAATATGAGAAGAAAGGTTCTAATTTTATTAGTAAATAAGAGTCATTTGAAGTGATATTAAAACTGTGGATATGAGAATAAATTTCTTGGGGTTTCTTAAAAGAGACAGGAGCTACGACAGTGAGTTATGGGGGCAATTCTTCCTCCCCATCCTAACTAGAAGGTAGCTATGAAAAATCAGAAAGAAAAAAAATTTTTAAGTCCCATCTGACCCCCTCCCTTGGCGCCTCTGCTTCTAAGTCTTTTCGTTCACTTAAAAAAATTATTATAGTTCGACTTCTAAATTTAATCATAAATCCATCCAACCTCCCCCAAGCAACATCAACATTAATATAATAATAATGACGAAGTGCCCACACAAATAACAGATCATGTCCACTCAATATCCGCAAAAATCATTTCTCATCGGATTTCATCTAAATCGGATCAAAAATTTTCCAATAAACTAATTTCTCAGGAGCTTCAAAAAAGTCTTGAAGCATCCCACACAAAAATTGATCTGTCAACTCGCATTACTTTCTATTCAAAATAACTTGATTGTATGACATTGTCACACTCAATTTCGTAATCTTTCGAAAAAATCTACAAATTGAACATTATCCGATTAATATTTCATGGTAGTCGGTAATTACATTTAAGTAACGCCAAACAACATAATCTCAAAAATATGACCACTTAATTTACTCGAAAAAGGTCTCTTGACTCCCCGCTGCAAACCGACTCATTAAAGTTGCTTATTTTGCAAAAAATTACGCTACGAGTAACGAGCAATACACTCACTTGACCTTGAAAAACTAATTTCATTTTATTGTTTTCAAAGAAAAATGAATAAATGTTATTTTATTATGTTTGGTTTGACAGTTTCTCAGCATTATATGTTACGTATATGGAATGATAATAATGGGCTAGTAACGATGATGAATTTAATTTGACTCCAAAACACTTTGATAAATTGAAGAATTTGGATGTCAATGTTGTTTGAATTTTAGTTTTAATTCTGAGGCTTAATTGGATTTGGGATGGGACAAGGATTAACAGTCAGTTTTCTTGATATTAAGAGCATGGACTTTTACAAAAGTAGTTTGGGTAATATCTTAATGAACATTCTGTAGGATGATTAAAGAGGACTCTTAAGCAACACTAGAATAACACTAAAAAAACACTAGAGCAAGACTAGAGAAACAGTAAAGCAACGCTAGAGCAACACTAGAGCAACACACGAATAACCTTAGAGCAATACTAGAGCAACACTCGAATAACCTTAGAGCAACAATAGAGAAACAGTAAAGTAACACAAGACACAACCTTAGAGTAACTTTACCATATTTTTAACTTAACACGCTGCTTTAATAATATTTTCAAGCTCATCAAAATTTAAGCAACCAAAATGTATTCTCAGAATAGTGCTTTACTGCTCGGTTCACTATAATTTTGATGAATAATCACCACGGATGTTTGGTAAGGTTATTAGAAAGGCCTCAAGTAGTATAAAAGCTACTTCAATTTCAAATTTCATCTTATATCTAAACAAAGTAAAGTTACATCCACGGAAAGCTTCCTCATTGCCCCAACCTTAACTTCACGACAAGCATGTAAGCTTATAATCTCAATACCCAACAAAATTCCTATTTATAGCAACAAAACCTCAACCGAAAGCCATCGAAAAAGGCTACGCAATTGTACAGAATACTAATCACTTCTATATTATTTCCCAAGTGTCTCGGAAGGATTCTTGAACTTGGATGACAATTTATGTAAATTAAAAAATAGTTTGCAATGTAAACAAAAAAATTGAAATTAAAATTCATTTGTATTTATTAGAACGTGATGAATCGATTGCTGTCCTTGATTAAATGCGAGTAAAACAATCGATCGATACTTTTTATCACAAAAGTATCAATTAATAGATGAGCGACTGGTGGTAATAAATTGAAAATGTCCATAAAAATGTGGTTGTCTGCAATGTCCCAGAGAAATTGCGTTCATGAGCTTGTCCTCCTTTTTTTGTAGAAATTTGATAAAAAAGAAATTGCTAGAAATAACTTTAATACTTAATATGCGCAATTGCTTCTGTTTTTTTTTTCTGCTACAAATTGAAATTGTTTCTAAGTAATCGATCAATAGACTCTGAAAGCTCAAACGACAGTTGAATCGCAATTTGAGTCATCATAAAAATTGCTCTATTGTAGCATATGGAAACTTTATACTGATTATACCTTGTTTTTAAAATTTTATGACTTTTTCACCCTTATAAACATGTTGTTTTTGAAATTAGTAGCACAATGAATTTTTAATGAGGAAAGTATTGTGTTTAAAATTCGCAATAAAAAAACGAAGAATTCATTAAAAATTTCTTTTGAGAATCTTTGTAGAATTTCGAATTTATGACATCTGAAAATCGATGCCAAAATGTTGAATTCTTAATGAAATGAACTTTGAATTTAATTCTGAAAAAACATAGGTTCAAGGCACGCAAGTATCAACTTTTCATTGCTCAAATCAACTTTCGAAGATTAAAAAATTAAATTCTTTAGTTTAAATTTTATGATAATGCTGTGCTTGACTACAAAACTGTCGAATTAGGCTTAATTTTGCAAAAAATCAAACTTTTAATCCTTTTTAAAAGAATTCTTTGCAGTTAATTCTTAAAGCTTCTTAATCAATCCTTAATCAAAACAAATCTTGAACAACCTTTCTTAAAATACACAAAAAAAGCTCTTTAACAACAAACTAATGACAAAGAAAGAATAAAACTTTTATGAAGTCATACTTGCAGCATGCATTGAATAACTTAAAAGTAAGTGTTCATATTTAGATGCACTTATTCGCGCAATATTTCCATTGTAGACTTAAAAAAACAACTAAAAGAGTTTTTAAGGCTTTCACTTTTATGGAGAACACGTGAATAAAATTTAGCCGCAGTGACGCAAAAAATTCAACCTTCATTGTAAATTTTTTTACGCATATAATTTGGAACTAGTAAATAGATTTTATTAATTGTAAATATTTTCGAGTCGGCGTTTTTAAACCTGTAAATTCAGACTATTTAAATTAATATAGCCTTGGCTGACCTACGATACATGATTTCTTTTTTTTTTTTGCTTGCATTAGGAAGAAACTTAAGACTTGTTATTTGAGGGACGTTAATGAAAGACGTTGAAATTTTAATCCCTCCCTTTTTTGGATAGTTCAATGATCTTATATTAAGCCCAATAGTATAAAACTGACCAAAAATGATCAAAAATAAGCATTAGATCCCCATCTTGAAAATAAAACGTCACTTATAAACAACCCCTCATGCTTGTGACGAAGATTAGTGCAGCAAAAATTAAACACGGAAGTCATTCGTTCGAATATATTGCAGTAATTAACTTGTGGAGCTCTGAATTGTCTTATTGCTAATTAAATAATAAGAACTGGCCCCAAAATTTAAGCTCAATCAACTTTCAAAAAATTACGTTCAAAGTTTTTTTTGTTTCTCAT